TACTTTATTTAATAAAGCATTTGAAATTTATGAAAGTGGATATTTTATTTTATTTTGTTTGAAAAGACTGTCCTTTATATATAATAAACAGAAAAATACTTTATTTAATAAAGCATTTGAAATTTATGAAAGTGGATATTTTATTTTATTTTGTTTGAAAAGACTGTCCTTTATATATAATAAACAGAAAAATACTTTATTTAATAAAGCATTTGAAATTTATGAAAGTGGATATTTTATTTTATTTTGTTTGAAAAGACTGTCCTTTATATATAATAAACAGAAAAATACTTTATTTAATAAAGCATTTGAAATTTATGAAAGTGGATATTTTATTTTATTTTGTTTGAAAAGACTGTCCTTTATATATAATAAACAGAAAAATACTTTATTTAATAAAGCATTTGAAATTTATGAAAGTGGATATTTTATTTTATTTTGTTTGAAAAGACTGTCCTTTATATATAATAAACAGAAAAATACTTTATTTAATAAAGCATTTGAAATTTATGAAAGTGGATATTTTATTTTATTTTGTTTGAAAAGACTGTCCTTTATATATAATAAACAGAAAAATACTTTATTTAATAAAGCATTTGAAATTTATGAAAGTGGATATTTTATTTTATTTTGTTTGAAAAGACTGTCCTTTATATATAATAAACAGAAAAATATTTTATTTAATAAAGCATTTGAAATTTATGAAAGTGGATATTTTATTTTATTTTGTTTGAAAAGACTGTCCTTTATATAATAAACAGAAAAATACATGGATGCTTGGAAATACCAGATTTATTTCTTGTGTTGAACATGATATCTCACTCGTTCGCTGTGCTCACTTGTGAGATATCATGTTCAACACTCGAAATAAATCTGGTATTTCCACGCATCCATGTATTATTATAATATAGGTGAAAAGAGAGTTAGGTAAAGAGTAACTAAAGTAATCACTAAATATCGATTCCTGAAAATTCATCTATTGTTTATTGCCATATTGTAGAAGTTTTGATTTTTTAATCATTTCGTAATTTTTACTCTTTAAGTAATTAACCTTAACTTTTTATACCTAGCTGAATTTTTTCACACATCAAGTATTTCAACGGTCAAACATTTCCTCTGGTACCGTGTGAACGCAGGCAAAATTATTATAATAATAACTTTTTCGGATAAACTTTGATATGCGTATATATACACAGCTCAAAAATTATCATTGTATTCATACAATGAGCATGTCCACCTATCAACAGATATATATCTATCGCCGGATATGTGGACATGCTCATTGTATTGTTTATGCGGAGCAGTGAACTCTATATATTTATATATACTGTAATATAAAATTCAAAGTGGCTATATTTACGGGCCCGTAGATGGACTTTGCCAGGCTGCATTTATGGTGCCTTATGTCACTAGCTCAGTGGTACCGGCGTGCGCCCTTTGATGCATTTTTTTCATATGTTTGAATTTGTTTCCAAACTAAATTTTAGTTCCTGAGTGGTTAGGAACTTAGGGTTGGGGGTAGCGGGGGAGGGGGGTTAGATGGATTGGGATTAGGATTGGGTTAGGTTTGGGGTTAGGGTTGGGATTTATTTAGCATGTGTGGGACTAGGAACCTGAGTGCCGTAAATATGCCTGGCAAAGTCCATTTACGGGCCCATAAATATAGCCACTTTGTATAAAATTCATTGTTATGAGTCACGCTGTACTGTTAGTGTTACACTCCTTCACACATTCGCTCTTTTGAAATGGTCTATGGCGCATCAGTGCTAACTGACATTGCCAACGAGTAACGGAACAGCATTTTTTCTAACACAAAACATAATCATAAAATAGTTTAGCTGACTCTTGTAGCAGGAGCAGGTTGCCACTAATTCATTCAGAAGGTCGATATACGGCTTCTTGAATCTGTTTGTGCTTTTTATGGCAGATGTATCCACTTCAAAAAATTTGCAAATATCTTGGAGCATACGTACAGAGAATTTGGACAACTTTGGAGTTTGTAGCCAGTTCGCAGATGTTGTGTGTTTCAAACATTATTGGATGGGAAATAGAAATTTCATTCAAAATTTCATTTGTTAGGTTTTCAAAGTTCTCTTCGTTTGACATTTCTTTGAACTCGTCTTCCTCGACCTCATCTTCTGTATCACTATAATCAACTTGTCTTCTTTTTTTAGCCAAGCGAGAAAAAAAGCTTGCAATTTGCTGCGGTGACAGGAAATCTGATTTTTGGAACAAACGCGAACCATCTGGATTCTTTGCTTTTCTCATAGAGTTAGACACATTCTTGGCATCTACTTTGTGGCCAGTTTGTTCTCCTATGTCAAAATGACTAGTTAGATATTCTTTCTGGGTAGGAGTAAAGTGTTTTCTTTTAGCTGACGACTTTAGCGCCCATCCGATTTCCAAAGGTTCCACGTAATCCAATGTTTGTGAAATACCATGGGCTTCTGGATGTTGAACTGCGCTAGTGCCTTCTTCTAACTTTTTGGCGTATTCCAGCATCGCTTTATCAAAAAGATTTTCGTGTTCTAATGCATACTTGTGCTTTCCAATGTCAACATGGCTTTGCAGAGATGAAAATCTTTGGTAACTTTTTACACAGCCTTCGAATGGGCAAGAAAACAGCTTGTTTTCCCCACTGTCGCTCTCCTCGTCTGAGTGGTCTGAGGCTCTATCTTCATCTGTTGACTTTTCTGAAACTCGTGGTTTACTTGGCTTTCTTTTGGCTTTAATGGTAGCAAAGTCAGCCTTTGGAGAAGCGGCATCCTTAATTACGTTAAGTTGAGGTATTGTTTTGGCAAACAAAAGTGGCTCCATTTTAGAAATTTACCAGGACCAATACCATATTCTCTCCAGGTTCGTATTCCACCATTGGTATATGCAAAGTTATTGATAAAGCTGATACCTTCCCATTTAGGTGCATCATCATCAGGAACAGTAGGAAGGTCGCACAGAATCACTCTAACTCCTGGTACACCACCAAAGGACTCAATAGCATCCTTCATTTGCTCAGCGGAATCAACATCCTTTCCTGAATTTAGATACATCTTTATATGGTTCTTGAGAGAAGCTGCTTTACGATCGCACGCCCTTTTCCGCCTTGTGGATCGGAGAAGTCCAATCTGATTTGCACTTTGTACTTCTTAGCTATCTGCTGGAGTGCCAGTATGGTAGGTGCGCTATGGTAGCACCCGGCATTATCTTGACGTAGGTATACCATTTCTCCGTCCGGCATGGTTGTCTTGAGCTGCCTAACCACATCGTCTACGATTGCCACAACTGTTGGGCTGTCTTGTGAACACTTTCTGAATATGTGGACAAAAGTGAGTGTATCTATTTTAGATGGCATTACTTTTCTTGTCACAACGGCTATGTGCCATGAAATTCCCCGTTTGCCAAACCAATCTGACTGGCTTTCTCGGTATTTTCTTGGGAGGAATTTCATGGCCCAGTCCAAGACAATAAGCACTGAATTTGAATTCAAATTACTGATGGTGTCCAATCTAGCTTCGTCTTGGTTAACAGTGCGGAGTAAGTGCGCCTTCCAAGCTTCAATACTATTCTTGGACTGGGAAACAAGATACAATATCTCCTCTTTTTCTTCGTTTGGAATCTCTGCGTTTTCTAAAGCTGTGCTTATCTCATCGAAAACAGAAGGAACTAATAGACATCTGTCACACTGAAGATCATGATGGTGGTCACATTCAATAAAATAATCAGTGTCCTCCTTTTTATAACTAAGAGCGTGAGCCCTACAGTGATCTGCAACTCTTGAACTTGGTGCTACATGTACCTTTAATACAAAAGAAGTTATTGTTGGAGTATTTCAGTTTCTTTGAACACAAATTGTAATTTCTCTTGCCTTTCTATTTAGTACTTTTTCCTGTGTGAGAATAAATAAATTGACTAACCTTGTAATCACTTTTAAGATAGCGTTTCGCAACTTTTAATTTGCCACTTTGCTCCTTTGCCCAGGTATGACCAGTTCCATATTCGTCTCCCAGCTTTTCTAAGATATCTTCCAGATCGTCAAAAGCCTTGGAACCCTCTGCTGATATGTAGTCTAACCCTTGAAGAGATTTTCGGACTGACACAGAACAGACTTTGAGAATTCTGCATAAAGTGCTGCGGCTCAGAGGTACGAAATCAGACTCTTCACAATAACTCTGATATTGTTTCACTACCTGTTCAGGTATAAGATTCCTGATGACATTTGGAACAGTAATCTTGGTATTGGAGGATAACTTCAATGATTTCTCTCCAAATGGCAAGTCCTGTATTACTGATGTACTAGTTATGAATGTCAAGAAGTGATCAAGTTTCTGGGGTGAAATGCATATCCTTGTATTTTTCATGGGAGCAACAACAGAACCTTTTCCATGGAGCAAGATATGGTGACGTGCAATGCTGTATCTGTATCGGGTTAAATGTGGAATCCATTTTTGGAGCTCCTTAAAATTAATCTTGTCCGCCATGATTGACAGGATTTGCCTACATGTGTTCCAATGAGATGCGTTGTTATAACATTCAGTAAGTGCCTGCATTAACTTAGAATCTATATTGGTATTAGCACTCCGTGGAGATTTCAATACGTCTAGCAACATATCTGAACTATCAGGTGAAATTTCGTCCAGAGCTGCAAACACGACCTGTCTTGCCTTACGAGTATAAAGACGTTTCGTTCTCTCCGAAGCATCATTCCATGCTACCTTAATCGAGCTTCGTACGGGACTGATATCTCTTGTTGCCAAAAACAAATTTAGTTTTTCCCTTGAACTTGTTTCAGTTTCACTATTTTCCTGTAATTCTGGCGTTTCAGAGGTTTCCGGTGGTTGATATAAGGTAAATGGTGTGTCTGGGAAAAGATTGCCTGGTGCAATTTGTGGTGTTTGCAGAACTGAACTATCCATTTCCATGGTTACTTCTTTTTCTTCCTAAAAAAATTTGAATAAAAACGGAAGTTTTAAATAATTATAGGTTTCTTCAATCATCACATAAAAATTATTTATTTCAGTTTCAAACAGTGCTTAGTTTTTTATTCTTTACTCAGACAAACAGAGAAAAAAACAAAGAGAACTACGAGGAAAAATCCCAAGACAAGACAGAAAATAAACTCACAGGAAAGAAACAGAAAGGAGATGAAAGGAAGTATTGGATTAAAAAAATACGTTTATTTAGCATCCATTTGCCAAAAGCTTGAACGATTTGCAAATATAGTAATTGAATTCAACATATGAATCCTACCATAATTGACATTTTATCCATTTTGTAAGTCAATGACAATGTTTTAACTTCAAATGGAGGAGAACAATCACCTTCCATGGTTATTGTAAGTTCTTTCTACAAAACAAAAATTGGGGTCTTATTAAAAGATAACCCTCCTTCATTGCGTTGAAGTTGAAAGGAATGGAAAAAAAAGAGAAGAAATGAAAAGATATGTAAAAGAGGAAAGTGATCCAAATTGCTCTCAGACTCAATTTTCAACAAGCTAGAATGATTTACACATGCAGCAATTTCATTTGAATAAATCAATCCTGTGACATTTACCCAGCTTTCAATCGCTGCTTTACCTCAGACGGAGGAGGGATTGGCTCTTGGAATACGTGTTGTTTCATTTCTTCTCTGCATTCTCTACAAATACCTGAATAAATATAGTGTTTTTACAACTGATATTTGTTTCTCAAGCTGTGGACGCAGCACTGATGATCATGATCGATAACTCATTTAGCTTACCAGAACCAACTTGAACAAATATTCCCGTCTTGCGCAGTATTACACAAGACTCGATTTTACTGATTCCTCGATCGCCTTTTGGCCAACTTCCTTTACCATTCCCATGTCCAGAAAGTATTTCTGGGACTCTGCACCTCGTGCTTGAACCTCTTGTCCAACTGATACCAAGCACAGCGCAATGATGCGGACAAATTGTCATATCTCTGATATGTTCTGCGTGATAGTTGAATAATCCAGCTCGACACAATATTAAATCAATCTCATTTTCCGTTCCCCTAAATGCAAGAGCTGCCACGTGTTTCGAAATATTCTTATTGCAGGAAACTAGAGGAATGATTTGAGTATTACGATTGCGATCTTTCTTTCGAAAAAGCATATGCCTCCAACAAGAGATCGAAATGAACCAGATACTTCCATCTTCCATTAGCACTCAATACATGAAACTTTTGAGCAAACATAAATCACTGTGCTCACCGCTATAAATAGCATATAAATTTATAAATTACGCCCTCTCACGAACCAAACTCGCATATATATATTCAGGAGCTGTTTTCACGTTTTTCACCCACATGCAGGGATATTCACATAAATAATTTTTTAAATACTAAAATCCTAAAAGATAATTGGTAGAGAAATTTTATTTATTTAAAATCAGCCCGCCCGATTAATTAGCGACCGACTCACCCAGCAATTTGCTAGCCTACTATGTCTAAGGTTTCGGCCCTCGCCTAGGCGGTCATTCGAATGCAGGATGATATTAGTATTGTTTATTACTATTACTATTAATATAATTTCATCTCATGGAAGCAGCAAGGCGATGAGTTGTTTATATGTTTCTGAAAAATAGTAATCGGAAGTAATCAATTGACTGTCACCCAGAGCCAGAGACGCAACACATTTGACAGTAAATAGACTTCGAATTGACATTTTATTTTGCCATCAACGCATCAATGTATTTTATCATCTTATTTTGACTACTTTACCTTATACCTTTTTATCAATTATATGATATTATTAACCATTTATTATAGTATTATTCAGTAATTGGCACACTGTAATTTATTCACAAACTGAACAACAAATCACGAAATGTCACTCAGAGACAGAGACAATACAAAGGAATGGTAGTAAAGAGACCAAGCTTATCATCAATATTAGACAATAAGGCAGTCATTGGTGAGCAAGGCTTAAAACTACTATGTTTGGGTTGGTTTTTTGAGGTCTTTTGGGTTATTACGTTCAAATACTCATTGCATGTTATTTTGAGAGTTGACCTCCAAGCCCAAGGTAATGTAAACACGACTTTACCCCAACTTTGAACCGCTCTTGCCCTGCACTTAGTCGTTTGCCCAAACAATTCTTTAAATCAATCGAAGGCATTTTATTCATTTATTCAACATGCTAAAGCTTGATCAATTCAAAGGATTATCACATGGTGAAAAATTATTTTCTTTATAATTCTAGCGAGGTGAGAGTTTGACCTCCAAGGTCGACTCAAGGTCATGTAAACACGATTTTGCCCACAATTTGAAAAGCTCTTGTGCAGCATTCAGTCGTTTGCCCAGAGAAATATTTATATCAATCGAAAGCATGTTTATCATTTATTCAACATGCTAAAGCATAATCAATTTAATGGTTTATCACATGGTGAAATTTAATTTTCTTTGCGACATACTTTTAGCGAGCGATACCTTGGGAATAAAATTCTTTCTGATCTTACAATTAAAACAAACTTGCTCAAAATCACTTAAACGTATGTTTAAACACCAAACTACAAGATGATAGGACAATTTAGCCTTTTATACTTATTTTCGTTGTATATGAGGCGATCAAATATGGTATAGATATCGCTTTGTAAAACGAAGATTTCAGCAGCTTAGCCTAAAATTGCGATTTCTCAAATACTAAAATATATTTCTCGAAAAAACTTTTCACAGCTTTTTATCATATCATAGACTATGTTGAGGCAAAGTCTGAGCGAAATCGAATTTTTCACTTTTGCTGCGGTTTTATTGCTTTTTCCCGACACGGGCTCTTAAAAAGGAAATAAACTTGAGTTAGTAACGAGGTAAGCTGTATATTGTTGCATTTAAGTTAGAATCTGCACGAGATAGAGTGATTTTACAATATGACGACTCATCGCAAATACACGCATGTGTGTTGATACAAACGGCCATAACTTTTGAAATACTGAAATCGTATAGGGATTTTTGCATATATTTGCCAACAAAGGACTATACTTCCTTGAAAAATAGGCCCGAGCGATTGCCAAAGTCCCAAAGTTTGAAAAATAGAATCTAAATCAAGGCCATTTCCACTCTTTGATTTATAGTCATAAGTAGGGTTTACACTGTGCTTAATTTTTCCTTTACAACTAATATTAGGTAAAACTTCCTCTTCTTCAAGAAAACTAGAAAGTTTCATGAGTGAAATGATATAAAATTCATTGCTAGTTGACGCGAATATAATATTTTACGCATCAATGAAAAATGTGCAATTTTCGAGATGTCCCAACAGGCCTTGAAGGGGGGAAATATTTCGTTATTTGCAGCGCAATTGGAAAATCGTTTTCAACCAAACCGAGACTGTTTTTATTTTATGTTTGGTAAAGCCTTCCAGTTGCCAGAGTTTTAGCGAAGATCATGTTTGAAATGAAATTCGAGCGGGCGGTTTTTACAGAGACAGCCTCTTAAGTCCCTGAGCTGGGAAGGACAATGGACCTTCCCCTTATAACTAAAATTTTGATCTAGACAAAAAATTTCATCACAGCTTGAAAGAGCATCACAAAATTAGTAATATTCCAAAGTTTTGTTGCAAAATGTTGTAAAATGCGAATATAGCCTTGTGAAATTTGCCGTTTTTCAGTCATTTTGTATTAAGCACAGGAAATTGAGAGCCCAATCGGGTGTTGGGGCATCAATTTCCTGTTTGTAATCTAAAATGACTGAAAATTGCAAACTTCGCAAGGCTATATTATCCGCATTTTACAACACTTCGCAATGAAACTTCGGCATATTACTAATTTTGTGATGCTCTTTCCAGCTGTGATGAAATTTTTGTCTAGACTTGTTCAGATCAAAATTTTAGTTATAAGGGGAAAGGTCCATTAGAATGCTCAAATGCTCTGCTAGTACTTTAGTAACTAGCTAAATTAATGCACACAGTATATTTGCAAAGTATAATTTATTAATTATTTAATAATTATTAATGAATAGTAGTATAAAGTTATAAAATATAGTTGTATAGCTTTTCAGTATAGCTTCCTTAGAATATTTAAAATTCGTGAAAATTGTATAGTAACAAACTAACAAAGTTTTTAATAAAATAAATAAATAAATGAAATAATGAATAGTTTTTTCAGGTTCTCAATTTAGTAATAAGTACATTATAATGATTATATATTTTATACAGTTAGACTAGTTAGGCAGTTAATGACTTAGACCTTAGCCCACCTATTGTGCATGTTTCCCCATGCTGTTACTACTTCAACCAAATCCAGCAAATCAACATCTTTGTTTAATGAAATGCATAAAAGATCACTTAATCTTTCTGGACGAAGGGTGGATCGCAGCTTTGTGCAGATACAATTCATACCGGAAAATGCTCTTTCCACTAAAGCGGTTGATGTCGAGATAGTGTTCTTAACTGCAATTAAAGTGGTCATGCAAGTTTGGAAGCCTCTTTGGATTTATTGGTAGACCAAGACAGTAATCAACTTTGCTCTTTGGATTTCTAGTTCGAGGATAGATCACTCAATGTTGAGACAGCTGAAGGTATTCAGTAGCACATCTAGTTCACTTAAAACGAAGTAGGTATCTGAACCTGCATTAAGAGCATCGATAGCTCTAAGGATGTCTATGTTCTTATAGAGTCAAATCTGACATTAAACTCATCGTTGAGTTTCTTCTTCAGCTCTGCGTTGAGTTCTGCAATGAGTTCTGCAATAAATTCGTTTATCTGATGACCCTGGTCATCGGGAGTCATAACTGTTGTACCTCTAGTGTTGTGGATAGGCATTGTGTCACAGAGAGCTAAGGGGTTTCCAGTCGTTCTTGAAATTTCTTTTGACTCAATGAGTGTGTCCTCGTCTTTGATGTTATTAATTGAATCCCGAGTTTGAGTCAGCTCGTATTAAACGTCTGTCCAATCAATTTTTTTGGCCTGAAGTTCTTTATTAAGGAAGTATAGCTTGCCGACATACTTATGAAGTGTTGTCAGACCGACGATGAATTTTCCTGACATCAGTTTGTGGTTCAGTCCAGCTGCTGTTTCTGCCTGCGATTTTGTATACCCATACTCATCATCTTCCGAATCTTCATCATTTTCACCTGGGTTGTTTGCCACGTCTATCAGAGTCGTGAGGACAACATCAAATCTTTCAGATATAACATCAACTGCTTCGTATTTGCATCCCCAACGAACATCAATTTGTTGCGTAATATGTTTATCTTGTTCGTACTTTTGTCTGATCTTCGGTTTATTGAGCAGTGTATGGCAGGATTTTACTGTGGTCATAACATCTGTTGATGACAAAGACGCCTTTAGCATGTCTCCCACAACCAAATTCAAACGATGGGCAGTACAATGGATGTAAACAAGCTACTTAAAATACCTCGATCGAAGCAGTTCTGTGATTCCTGCGAACCAACCAGACATCACGCTAGCGCCTTCTGCGCCGAAGCTGATAATAGGCGATCCATTGAATTTCTGCTGGACTTTAGAGATCAGGTCTTTTGTAACTGCTGAAATAGCTTCTACATCAAATTTGGTGAGTGCATCTCTCTTGTACCTTCTCAGTGTAGTAGCAAACAGAGATAGCGAGCTCTTCTCTCTTGCCCTTGTCTTTGCTTTCGTCTATCAGTGCACTGAAGCACCGGGCAGTTGCGATCTGATGGCATATCTGGTTCCGTATCTGAATCGCGAGTATAGACAGCATTTCATTGAGAGACGTTTTACCGCCTCTTCATGGCCCCGGAATGCTATTTCGTTTGTTGCAAACCAAATTACATACTGGAACAGAAGTTTAAAGTACTCTCTGTTGTTTTGAATTGTTTTCGCTTGGTTGGGAACCAGTTTCTCGAGTATACTTGTATCTTGTCCATCTGATATTCAGAGCTTGCCTTCCATTTCTTGTAGCAAACTTTATGAACTTCTGATTTCTGATGTTTCATAAAACCTTTGTCCTTGTCTAAGGCATTAGTCCACTTCCTAAAGCCAGTTACAGTAAATGTGGTGTCTGCGGAACTTCTTGAGCCAAAGATTTTACAAGCAAAGCAAAATGCTGCATCGCTTTGAATGTTATACTCTAGCCAGTCGAAGCGGTTGTACCAGCTCGCGTTGCAAGATCTTGTTTTTTTGCTTGAAAAGTTTGTATTTATCGGTAATTTCTGGAGCTTCGGTTGTGATGGTTTAATGTCCAATTCATGACTGAGATGACTGGAGCTTGCTTGGCTAGTTTGAGGGGCGGATTCCTCTTGAGTCTCTTTATGATCACAAATCGTATGAAACTTCATCTGGTCCAGCATCATCTCGTTGAGTATCATGGTCATCTCATTCATCTTCAAGTTCTTGATCTTGATCAATTGGTGCGACATCATCTAGTTGTGCATGTGGGTCTGATTCTGGAAAGAATAAAGTAATCAGCGAACATACAATCGAGTCGGCCCAATTGGCCAAACATCAAAAATGCATGTATGTGCCCAGACGGGTAATGATTCTAGTGAAAAGCCGCCATAATACATTTTGCGACATGAAGCAAACAAGCATGGCAACAGCATGAAAATTTAAAATAATTTAAAATAAAATAATAAATAATACTGCCGAGAACTTTGATAATTCTGATGATTACTCACCTTTGTTTTTCTTTTGGAAAGTGTGCAAGCGTCGGTTGGTGCCTTTTCATTGTTGTCTCTCTTTGGTTCACCCAACAAATCGCAAATCAAAAATCACTCACATTAATCGTTATGTTTCGGTATTGGAAAACAAAAGATTTCACAAAATAACAGATCTATTAGAAGTTCTTCACGATTCACTTTCTCTCATGAATAATGCATAAAGTGCACCGGCTTTTATACCAACGGTTAGAGTAAAATATGACTTAATTCACCAAAAATAATCTGACATATTGCTGATGTAATACACTATGAGTAAGCAAATTCCATTTGAGAGCCAATGGACCTATTACCTAATGTAATGAACAAAATTTTGATCTAGACAAGCCTAGACAAAAATTTCATCACAGCTTGAAAGAGCATCACAAAATTAGTAATATTCTGACGTTTTGCTGTGAAATGTTGTAAAATGCGGATAATATAGCCCTCCAAATAACTGAAAAACGGCAAACTTCACAGCCGCAGGGCTATTCGCATACGCCATTCCGCAACGAAATTTCGGAATATTACTAATTTTGTGATGCTCTTTCAAGCTGTGATGAAATTTTTGTCTAGATCAATATTTTGTTCATTAGGTAGTAGGTCCATGACCATTGCAAAGCTGAACCATGTCAGTGAACCTTCATACACTTTTAAAAGCTGGTCAGAACCTCACCAATGATCTGGAGATCACTTGGACTTTGTTCGTCTTCTGCCACTGGCACTGTTCTCAAGTTTCGATTCAGCCGTTTCACATGCCAAAATTAGACTTGCGCTCATATTATTCTTCGCCTTTTCACTGAAATTTTTGGCTTAGTATTCTACCTTAGTGCGCACCCCCCTGCACCCCCCAGAAAATCCGCCCCTGCCTTTAACATGGTTACGATTAAGTTTGTTGCAAGTAATGATGGTCTTTTGTTTGTTTTCAATTGGTAAACAAGTGTTCCCATCGTTTTTGGTCCAATATGTAGTTTATCATATTCACCATGTAGTGTTGTTAGGTTGCTGTACATATAAAGGTTTGTAATATCATGACATACAATGTTCCTGCCATCCATATGGTAGATTGGAAACAAGTATAGTAATTTAATAATACATGGCAGATTCCATTCCATTGCATTAGATGCAATATATCCATAAAATCATGTAATTCAGCATTCTTGTATTTAATAGGAATACATTTTTGTTAATCCAGAAGCTCCCATCCTATTACATGTGATGTAATAATCCTATTACATGCGATGCAATATATCCATATTATGAATTTTTCTGTGTTGGTGTTGTGTACTCAGGTGAATATGTTTGTGATGTTACTCTGAGTGTATATCCACACCAGGCGAGCTTGAAAAATATGCCCGGCCATGGTGGGAATTGAACCTACGACCTTTGGAATACTAGCTGAGTACACCACACCAACACACCTGAGTACGCAACACCAACACAGAAAAAATTCATATTACTAGATTAAAATGGTATCAAAGGAACTAGATTCTGTTCCGAAATATCACTTACTCAAACTGTCGTGACCGCGTAGCTCAGTTGGCAGAGCATTTGGCTAGTATATTCCAAAGGTAGTAGGTTCGATTCCCACCGTGGCCGGGCATATTTTTCAAGCTCGCCCGGTGTGGATATACACTTAGAGTAACATCACAAACATATATCCATATTATATTTCGACTGTAACGACCATTTGGTTTCATCCAGCAGTTAACATAGCACGATTCACATCTTTCAGAATTACAAAACTATAGGAAAAAAATAATTGGTAGCATGAGATATTATACTATTAGGCACCACCGAATAGGCAATTCCAGCTTTTAGTTTGTGTAGATGCAGGGAGGGGGGGGTGGGGGTGGAGAGTAAGGTATCATATTGCTGATTATGTTGAAAAAATTAAATGATGGCCAAGGAAAACACAGAGTGATAGCTCATACTTGTAAATATTGAAATTTTTCAGCATAATCAGCAATATGATACCTTACTTCCCATCACCCCTGCATGCAGAAATTAAAAGTTGGAATTGCTCTACCCTAACCTGTGATCAGGTTATAAATAAATAATTATTTATACAAACCTTAACAAAAGTTTGATACAAACCTTAACAAAAGTCCATGCCTTACGACCATATTTTGGTCGTAAATCTGATTCGTCTACAAGAGAAAAGATTTTTTAATCTGTCATTTGATTGGTTGGTGCTAATTAGATTTTACTATGACCGGTTGCTGATATATTTTTCGTGATCACAACTACATATAATTAGATTAATTGTTGTTGTCATTGTGTGAAATTTGAATTTCTACTGATTACAGTCTGATCTCAGGTTAGCTCTAGTCGACCACAGGGCTCTACCCCCAATGGATAGACCGGTGTCCCAGCAGATTTGGACCCCCCTCAAAATGGACCCCCCGGTCCAAATCCGCTAGCGAATATGGACCTATGGGGGTCTTTATTCGCTAGTGGATTTGGACTCCCATAGATGCCAAGTCTCACGTATTAAGCGTGTGACACACGCCTCAACATCATTTCTCACGCTCACACGCTTCAGTTTGATTATCTCACGCATAAACACAAAGTTAGCTGAGAAGCTAAAATGTAGAGAAATAATGGTGCTTGTAAAATGTTTGAACTAATTTCTTTTGGTATATTAAAGCTATCAATAAACATAAAAAAAGGATAAAAATAATGACTGTAAAAATAATGACTGTAAAACTCATGTTTCCTTGTGTATTTAATAATGTTATCACTATCAAACATTGCAATCAACACACTACTTCAGGATATAACCTGAGCGCATTTTTTAATCGCTATTGCATCAAGCTATCAATTATATGGCTTACGATTGATGTACTTAGGGACCATTCATTATTTATGACCGGGGGTGGGCTGGCAAAAAAAAGGGGGTGGGTCATGAGATATTTTTGACCGAAAAAGGGGGGTCACCTAAAAATAATGGTTCAGAAGGGGGGGGTCCAGTTATTTAATATAGTGGTATTATAGTGGAGAAAAATTTGACATGTAACGATTATTGCTACCACAGGGAACGAGCAAGGCAGCAAATTTAATTCATGTATAGCTAGCAAAATTATCAATTTTGATAAACAAATAGACCCAAAATGCAATGCACAAATACCCAAAATGCAATATGCAATATGTACAACTAATATGAAAAATAATCGAACATCTACCTTTATAACTTTTGCCATGAACTTGCCATATATTTTGGCATATTTCAATTATGTACATTTTAATAAAAGATAATTAACGAGTAAGCGATGAAGCAACATTACATACATAGACAGATTTTCTGGGGGATGCAGAGGGGTGCTACCCCTCCAATATTAGCTATAACCCCCCCAAACAAAATGTCCACCCCTCCAAAATAATTTTTACCCCCCCCCCCAATATTTGGCATAATATATAAATAATTAAATAGTCCACTCCAACGTGCAGAGTGTTGACGATACAAAATAAACGTAGGAGTACACTCGAACAGGAAAAGTGCAACACTCTGAAACTAATTGCAACCAATTGTAAAGTTTTGAAACTCTATGAGCTCCCCTGAATAAAGTTTACAGTGCCTTGTCATGCGAATAGCTTGCACGCAAGGAACGTTTGGAAGTTTTACGTACATTATTTTTAGTTTTTAATTCTTTTAGGAAATAGACTTGCCTAGATTTAATCTTTACGCCCCAAATACTATTTACATTGGAGTTGCATCATAAATTGTACTCAAATTCAAACAACACAATGTCAATGACTTTATAAAAGTGAAAGCATATTTTCTATTGGCCTATTGGGTTTACACTTTCACAGGTTCATTTAACTTTAAGTCTTTAACTCTCTCAAGTCTCAACAGACAATCGGACATGCCAAATCCATTGATATGACAAATTGACAACTTCAAAAAACTTTTCGAAGCTAGACATCACGATTTTTTTCAAATTTTTCCTGGGATACTTTGTTTTCTGCTCTCTAGACTTCCCCTCGCGGCTCTAGTGCTCCACCTCTAGAATATAGACCTTACTGAGGTTTGGTGACACTTTGTGTTGCTTCAGTCACCTGCTCACGGCTCACTCCCCTAAAATTTCAGGCACCACCCCAGTAAAAAATATGAAAATCCGTCTATGATTACATATACTATATACACTAGTTATACTAGGTATTTTATACATGGTTTAATTTAGTAAGGAGCTGGTTTACCATGTCAAGTCCGAGCCCAAGTCAAATGTCCGGTCTTTGTAGTTCATTGACGTAGTACCCTTAACCCTACTCTTAACCCAGGACCGTAGCAACCCAATAATTTGATAATAATCATTCTTCTTCCAAAATCATGCAGAGTTCTATCATTTAAATAATATAGGCTAGCTTTAAAGGCCCTTTAAAATACTGACAATTTATTAATTTTAAGCGGCTACAAAAATATCCATGACAAACTGCAAAGAATGAAGATATTTCTCATACTTTCCTGCTACTTATCCAATATATAATTAATTTAAATATGCCTTCTCCCATTTAGTGCTACTAAATTGTAAATTTAGACATACTAAAATGCTGTTTTCTGTCCATCAGAATTCTGTCAAATCTTCCCCAAAGTCCGGAAATGGCATTTCAGAGACTAAATTTAAAAATTTCCTCGGGCCTTTGGCCCTCGCTTTCAGCTCCCCAATAAAAAAGAGCTTTCTACACTACAGCACTGTAACCCTAACCCTACTCCTAACCCTATATTCCTAGCCGATTTTACTCGTCAACGGCGAAGCTCTGCTAGGCATGTCCCGATTGTGCTTGGCAACTTTTGAACAACTTTTTGCATTTGGAGCAACTTTTTTCGGCTCGAACAACTTCAAGTAACTTTTTCCTTTTCGATCAACTTTTTACTACACTCTTAATAGTGAAAAATGGTATGACCCCCAGCTTTAGCCTCTTCGGCACTCTGTAGCTTAATGGTTACCAAAAATCTGACAATGTCTCTAGTTAACCCATTGCGCCCCAGTACTTGTTTTACTTGTTTAACGCCAGACGATTTTACTCGTCAACAGGAAACTCTGCAGCGTAATGGGTTAAACAGGCATGCATATTAATTCTTGAAAGCACAAGTAAATGAAAGATCTGATGCCTTTTACAACAAGTTTAAAGAGCTCATTTCTATACAGTACTATACATTTATTATATTGTCGGTGGTGCATGGTGGGGGTACTATTTTTTAGAATTCATGTGAGGGGGGTCATTGAATTTTTTTTGTGATGCAGGGGGTGGGGCAGGATATTTTGTTTAGTTGTTAATTGAATTTTGCCAGCCCACCCCCGGTCATAAATAATGAATGGTCCTTTAGTAGGCGAGGCTATTACTCAGCCCTGTTAAATTATTTATCAAGCAGTTATTATAACTGATGTAAAATCTAAAGATGCATAAACATATTGAGATATATGCGTATAAGTTTACAACTATAAACTTAAATGTAAACTCCAATTATTGACTTTTAATTACAATATAATATTCCTATAAATATATATAAATGATTTTTTAAAATTTTACTCTTGGAATTGTAGTTTTTGTTTTGACTAATATTGCATTTGCACATGTTTTCACATGCATTATTACTAATACTTGTTAAACATTGTGCCTCAACACAAAATGTACCTCTGAAATATTGTTTTTGAAAACCAAAATAACACCCAAATATGTTCTCAGAACGCTGGAAATGCCGTTTCCGAGACCCAAATTTCAAAAATTTTCTACTATAGTTGCGGTGTGTTCATCTCGCGCGTGGACAAAACACAACCTTGGCATCTATGGACTCCCCTTGCGTATTTTGTCATTGCAACGTATCGTATTTTGAATATTGTACTGAAAGCGTTTTAAATTGTCATAAATCTCATCTGATTTATTTAAAAAACCATATACAAAGATTTTTAGATCGTCAAATCTTAGATTTTTAGATTAGAAAATTGGAATTCCATCCAGGTTGATGATTTATAATTTTTCTGCTACACGAGTTTATTTCTATGATCTTGGAATGTGCGAGAACTGAGAAGCGTGTGAAGCCTTCACAAGTATTTTACTCCTTGGCATTGCTATCTGCTCTCACTCTTAACTGCTCAAATAAAAACGGAAAATGAAAATTATTTCAAATTATTTTTGTCTTAACCCATAACAAAGTGATGCATTCCATTCAACCCTAAACTTTTATAAAATTAGCATCTCAATACTCGTTTTCGTCATTAAACAAATTCCAAGATAGTTGAGTTATGCCATTAGTTATCATAATTTAAATTAAATTGACGCCTAAATTTCTATGCACATTCAACTGCAAATCATTTCAAAACTTTTTGTGAATTTTAGGGGGTCCATTTCCGCGGAACCCCCTTCCGTACATATCAGCTAGCAGATATGTATCGTAGGGGTCCGAATCCGCTAGCTGATATGAACTGGGGGTCCATATCCGCGGGGAGTCCAATTCCGCTGTTACACCGGCATTACCTTTTGCCACAGTGGTCAGATCAGTGATACTTTTTGCCTCAACAGGCTCTACCACAATGGGTAGTTCAATGTTATTTTGTGCCTTCTTATTATGGGCTCTACCACAATGGGTAGTCGAATGTTATTTTTTGCCTCAATGGGTAGACTGTTAATATTTTGTCCTACCACAATGGGTAGACTGTTATTATTTTGTCCTACCACAATGGCTACACTGTTATTGTTCTGTCATACCACCATGGGTAGTTCAATTGTTATTTTGTGCATCAAAGGGATCCACAGGTGTTTTAGTTGCATTCGCATGCACCACACAGCCGGTGAGCTGGCACATGTGTTGATCACAGAATCTCGTATATAAGAAAAATGTTCGTATATAAACTTGAAACACTGACAACTTTAGGTAAAGTTACCTACAGATAAAAGTTCGACACAAGGTTCTAAGACAACAAAGCCATATATTATCCAGAGCCTGCAAGTACATTCTGTCTCCTTGTATTATAATAAGATATTATTCAATGCTGTTTTTGACCAATCGGTCAGTGCCATCAGTGGGATATTTTGGGCAGTTAAAACTGCCGACATTAACTCATAAAAGCACATTGTTTGCCTCTATATTGAAAAGTTATCACCTTGATGTATTTTAATAGAAATACAGCCATGCTTACCTGAATTTTTACAAATATTTTCGATCTCTTTTATCTGTATTACTGTAAAGCTTAAAAAATCTTGACTCTTAAGCACATGGAGATTCGTGCGCAATACAAAATCTTGTTTCTGACTGCTCCCCTCATTTAACAAACGTTCCTGAAGCTTAATTATTCCCCCCGGATTAAGACATCTTTACCGACAGACACAAGATCGAGATTTCGACAATACATAGATCGCGCGAAAGACTGGGTCGAGTGAACTCTGGAGAAACGTGTCAAGAATAGTGTCCTGCCTCGGTGCGCTCGGCAGCAATAATAAATGCTTCGGGCACATTGCCACTTAATGAATTGGAATAAAGGCCTAATTTATATGGAACCTGCACAGTGCAGGTGTTCATCAACAATCTATTTATTCTTTTACAGAAGGAAAGAAACATGCTAGTATGTTGGCACATTCAGGTCTATTGAATGATCTTCAAGAACACTGTTTCACACCCGATGGCCAAACACCATGTATTTATGGAGACCCCGCATATGCCTTGCATGTTCACCTTCACACCCCATTTAGAAATGGTATCCTGACCCAGCCTATGAATAACTTCAATAAGTCGATGAGCAGGGTCCGTATATCAGTCAGTAGAATGGCTATTTGGAGATGTCATCAACTATTTTAAGTTTGTGGACTTTAAGAATTCGAAAATCGGTCTTAATTGTATTGGCAAGATGTATATTGTTTGTGCAATATTATGTAATGCATTGACATGCCTTTATGGAAATCAAACTTCCGAGTACTTCGGATTAAGGCCCCCCCCCCAACCCTTCAAGAATACTTTGGTTAATTAACAGAAAATTAAAGCAGGATTGGGAAGACAATAGGGTTTTAGCCCCAACACCAGTGATGAAACAACTCGACCCTGTAATGTAGTCACGTCATGTCACGTGATGTAATATATATTTAGGTATCAGAAAGAGACCACGTGTAAGAAAATAGGGTTTTGATATTGAAGGCAATAAAAGTACATTTTTATACTGTACAACTTGTACTAAAGAGATACATTATATTTGGCGACGAGTTTATTTTAATGCTGAACCCAAACGAAGAAGAAGAAAACACAGAAGAAATCTCGATGGCCACAACTTTGGATTTAAAACCACCACCTCCGTTTGATGCAGAGGGTGATAATTCCTCGCTAGCCCAACGCTGGAAAGAATGGCGAGAACGTTTTAATATGTATACAGTAGCTGCCAACATCGAGGATGATGCACAGAAATGCGCAGTGTTATTGTATGTAGCTGGCCCGTCAGTTCATAAAATATTCAAAACACTACAAGACACCGGGACAGATTTCAAAACAGCTCTAGAGAAGCTCGACGAATATTTTCAGCCACAAAAGAACGTAATATATGAACGCTATGTGTTTAAACAGACACATCCAACGCCTGGAGAATCGGTAGATAGCTACATAACTCGTCTACGTACACTAGCCGAAACGTGTGAATTCGAAAGCGCCGAGAATGAAATACGTGATCAGTTTGTTATGACATGCTCGTCTCATGGATTTCATACGAAGCTTTTACGCGAGACAGATCTGACATTGGCTAAGCTTATTACCATGGCACGAGTGAAGGAATTAGCAGAAAAACAAGCGTTGAATATCTCGGGACACAACTCTTGGAACAATGTTAATCGTGTAAAAGACGAGGGAAATGACGAAGCTAAAGACAAGGTAAGACATGCTAAATATGTACCAGAACCACACAAACAAAATAAATGCCGAAATTGTGGAAATGAATTTAAACAAGGGCATAAAGAGGTCTGTCCTGCGAAGGGCAAAACCTGTAGAGCTTGTGGAAAGCTCAATCATTTCGCTAGAGTTTGTCGAAGTCGAAAAAATCCCCCGAAAGATAGTAAGAAAGATTCGAGAGAGTCTGTGAGAGTTGCACAACAACAAACCCAAAAACAAAGCCCTCCTAATTCGTCCGACGATGAGTATACTTTCGCTGTTTCATCATCAAAAATAACTAACATTCAAATACAGATCAATGGGACCCCTATCGCTGTGGCTATCGATTCAGGAGCGACGACAAATATTCTTGATAGTGAAGCATTCGCTTGTATTAGGAAAAGAAATAAACATGTACAATTAGAGCCAACACAAACAAATATATATGCATATAATGCCGTTCAGCCCTTGCCATTGCTCGGAAAGTGTCATTTAACGGTTGAATCGAATGGAAAGCGTACAATATCGACGTTTTATGTTGTCAACGGCAAAGCGGGATCACTTCTCGGTAATGAAACAGCCGCAGAGTTAGGCATTTTAAAAATAAAAGTTAAAGAAGTCTCTAAATTTCATAGCATGAAAACAACCGGAAGTCGAGGTAGGAATGAAATCAACACCGGAAGCCACTCAAACGGAAGTGACGCGAACAGTCAAAGTGACTCCGGAAATCGAGAAATAAGGGACAGAAATAGCCTGAAAAACATTGACATTAATACACAGAAAATTTTAGATAAATTTCCAGAACTCTCTGACGGAATAGGATGTTTGCAAAATTATGAACAGTCATTGCATGTTGATCGTACAGTTACCCCTATTGCACAACGCCCTCGGAGAGTCCCTTTCCATTTACGAAAGCAAGTTTCAGATAAACTAGAAGAATTACAAAGTCTCGATATTATTGAACCTGCCGAAGGACCTACTTCATGGGTATCACCCATAGTAGCTGCTCCCAAACCACACAATTCAGATGAAATCAGATTATGCGGAGATTACCGTAGACCAAATCAGGCATTGTTAAGGGAGAGACATCCAATCCCAACAGTTGATGAGTTAATGGAAGAAATGTCTGGTGCTGTCGTCTTTTCTAAACTAGACCTCAAAGCAGGATACCATCAGATAGTCCTAGAAGAGAACTCGCGTAACATTACCACTTTTTGCACACACAAGGGGTTGTTTCGGTATAAACGCCTGCCATTTGGTCTGTCATGTGCTTCAGAAGTATTCCAAAATGCAATACAGCAAGCGCTCCAAGGTTTAAACGGGGTACGAAATATCGCGGACGATATTATTGTATGGGATAAAACCCAAGCCCAGCATGACAAGAATTTGGAAGCACTCTTACAGCGATTAGTTATCAATAAACTTACATTAAACCTGGAGAAATCCAGGTTTAATCAACCGTCACTTTGGTTCTATGGCTACATTCTGTCAAAGGACGGGCTGTCAGCAGATCCAAAGAAAGTCGAGGCAATTAAAAATTTCAAAACACCAGCAGATGCCAGTCAACTACGCGGTTTCTTGGGTCTGGCCAATTACTGTTCACGATTTATTAAGGACTTTTCCACTCTAACAGCCCCTCTACGTGAATTAACAACCAAATCGTGCAAATCCATGGTCTTGGTATGCTAGTATACTTGGAACGTATGCTAGTCGTTCCATAACGCCTGTGGAAACTCGCTACTCGCAGACCGAAAAAGAAGCATTCGCTGCAGTGTGGGGTTGTGAACGTTTTCATCTTTATCTTGTTGGAACACAATTTGACCTCATCACTGACCACAAACCATTGGAAAAAATTTACAGCCCAAAGTCCAAACTGTCGCTTCGGTTAGAACGTTGGTTACTACGATTGCAATAATACAAGTTTAATATCAAGTATCGACCAGGTAGCAGCAACCCAGCTGACGTGTTGTCTCGACAACCTTTATTCACCAACTACAAGTCAAGTACCATAGCGGAGAAATATGTCAATTTCATCCAGAGTCACTCGGTTCCTAAATCTCTCACGCTCGATGAGATTCGTACCGCAACTTTAAATGATCCTGAGCTGCAGAGTGTAACTAGCGCAGTAAAAGAAGAGCGATGGAACAAAACAGATAGTCGTTTAAGCCAATATCGTAATCAGCACGAACAGTTGACAGTTTCGGAATGTGGAGTTATACTACGAAATTCACAGATCGTCATCCCAAAGAGTCTCCGTAGTCGTGTCCTTTCTATTGCTCATGAAGGACATCAAGGGATAGTTAAAACTAAAATGCTTGTGCGCAGTAAAGTATGGTGGCCTGGTGTTGACAAGCAAGTGGAGCAAACGGTTAAAGAATGTATACCCTGCCAAGCAGCAGTACACCAGTCACCAAAATGTCAACCACCCCTGAATATGACAAAGTTACCTCCACATCCTTGGCACACATTTAATGCAGATTTCTGTGGTCCATTCCAAAATGGCGAGAAATTGTTGGTCGTGATTGACGCCTATTCCAGATATCCGGAAGTTGAAGTTATGCAAAGCACGACAACCACGGTTGTGATCTCCAAACTCCAAAGAATCTTTGCTCGACATGGATATCCCGAAGAATTGATAACCGATAATGGACCCCCGTTCAATGCGGTAGAGTTCACCGAATATCTATCTGCACGTGGAGTTCATCACCGCCGAATCACACCTTATTGGCCTCAAGCCAACTGTGAGGCAGAGCGATTCATGAAAACAGTAACAAAAGCAATCCGTACTGCTCATTCGGAAGGAAAAAGATGGCAAAGTGAATTAGACCTTTTTCTTCTCAACTACAGATCCACACCTCATTCTACGACCCACACTAGTCCAGCTGAACTTTTGTTCAATCGCTCAATTAGAAATAAGCTTCCTAGTTTCTCGTCCCTACAACACGGTGATGGCCCTGAGGAACACCGCGTTGTTCGAGATAAGGAGGAAAATGAGAAAATGAAAGTCCATGCTGATAGAAACAACAACGCGAAAGAAAGTCAGTTGAAAGTTGGTGATTACGTGCTAATGCAAGTCCCAAAGGACAATAAGTTATCAATGTCTTTCAATCCAAAACCATTTCAAGTGATTGAAATCAAAGGCAACATGGTAACAGCTCGTAATACAGAGCGCATCCGGAATGTATCGTTTTTCAAATGTCTCACAAATTACAAGAACGCAAGTGAGGAAGACCAGAATGATGAAGAAGAAGAATTTGACGACGACAGCAACCAGCAATAGTTGAAGAGCAACAACAAGATCCACCAGATCTACAACGAAGGTATTGTCGCAGACAAAATCGAAGACCACCGGACTTTTATAAAAGTTAGACATGTTAAAACTAGTTAAGTAGCTACTGGTAAAGCGGACACGTAGACTTTATTAAGGTAATATATTATAAACAGCAATTTACATTTATGGTTTATTTTAAAGAAAAGGAGGGATGTAATGTAGTTACGTCATGTCACGTGATGTAAGATATATCTAAGTATCAGGGAGAGACCACGTGTAAGAAAATTGGAGTTTGCATATTGAAGGCAATAAAAGTACATTTCTAGACTGTACAACTTAGTACTAAAGAAGTACATTATAGCTAACAACACCACCAGCCCGTTGATTGGTAGGCTGTGAAATGAAAGTGTAATTAAGGGTAGTTAAGATCTGCCAACATTTGGGTGAAATGGTCAAAATTAGCATAAATGCTCCTAACATTGCAATTTAGTACAGAAAATTATTTATTTAATAATGTGTTTTGTATATCAGTATAACAATGAAAGTCATGAGTATTATAATAGTTAAAATTTACTCTGGAGAGAACATTGAGCTCAGGGTCATTTATGGAAAGATTGGGAATATTGTTTATATACTTGACAAAAATTCCAAGCTTGGTAAATGTTCAAAATTGGATTCAATCAATATTACTATTATGTTACTACCAATATTTAAAATTTCACCGTTATCGATAGAATGGAATGATATCATGTAAGCAGCTTTGGCATTGCCAATTGTGAGAAATTAAACTGTACAGTAATACTTCCAATATTTTTGTGAAAAACCTGTGCAATTAAAATGATAGTTATATGATTGCAGAACTCGCAAGTTAATTGCCTATCGTTCTTTCTTATAGATTTATCGCAGGTTAAACAAATCTTCTTATTCACATCCTGTATTTATATATTGTAAATACAATTGCATTACAGTTTGTCCATATGAGATTGAAATGGCAGGACTTGAATCGTCTCTTCTTAGGAATATGTTTCCATAACGTGTCCAAATATATTTGTAGTTTATTATTTTTTCTGGTCTCGAGACATTTTTTGAATAACAATTTCTTTGCTCATGTTAAGCTTTCTTGAATATATATTCTATTTCTCCTTGTCGACCAAGTCCAAGATCAATTGTATTCAGATTTTTTAACTTTACTCTTGATTTGTATAATTGGTCTCGAACATTCCTACGCACAAGTTTTACAATAATAGACTGCGTTGATGAATTTCCTTTATAATTCGAAGAGACTGGCAATCTATGACTCACAGAAATATCCGAGTCATTTATTACTCGCTGCGGCACCTGTGCCCTGGCGAGTATAGGTTTCGGCTCACATTTTTCTCCGATAGTGGATGTCAGATTGCGACCGATAGTCACAAAATAAAATATTAATGAGCTGCCTATTTTTATCCAAATTATCCATAAATACCCTACGTTAAGCAGTTAAAATGACATCTTACAGTAGCCCGACAAAAACAGATTGACAGAAATACAAAGACAGCGATGCACAGGAACAATTGTATGAAATATAAACTCGATATAAGACTGCTAAGTCGTAACTATACTTTTATAAGAACAGAGCTCTAAGAACAGAGTAAAGACCAGACACAGTACTAAAATGCGGTGCTTTACAAATAAAACTTTACAATACAATACAATACAATACAATACAAATTTATTAACTCGTTCCCAATGGGGCTTTTCAGAGATAATTAACAAATAAAATTAATTCTAAGTTCTAAAGCATGAAAAATTTAACTGACCTGTTTTCCATCAATAACTAATTACTGAGAAATTCAAGCAAGAGTTGCTTCTTAAGACTTCGTTTAAATCCTGAAATAAAAGTACAAAGTTTTAGATCATTGTTCAACGAATTCCAGAGGCTAACAGCTTGATAATTAAATGTTCGTTGCCCAGTCTTACTTTTAAATAGAGGAATGTCAATATTCTGCGAATTTCTAGTGGGACGCTTCGAGACGTCTGCGCGCGTCGTAAATTGGTTGGTCAGGTAGCTTGGTGCACAACCAGTCATACATTTGTATGACATGATGGCCCGACGATAATATAATAAGTCTCTCACTGGCAGCCAATTTAAGGTCTTGAGGACAGGAGTCACATGATCGTATTTCTTTGTTTCACTGATAATTCTGCAGGCAAAGTTTTGAACTGCTTGAACTTTGTCTAGGTTACGTTCAGTGGTGTTACTCCAGACGTTGGAACAATAAAACAATTTGCTAAAAACTAAGGCGTTTATGATTATTTCTAAAGAACATTTATCAAATGCGTGTTTGACTCGATTTATTTGTCCCAAGCGAGACATGCAAGATGATAACAGAGACGTGATAAGCTCATTATACGTCAGATTTGTATCCAGAATTACGCCAAGATCTTTAGCCACTGTAGATGGTAAAATTTCTTTTCCTCCGAGACATCGTACGACTACCAAACACAAGACGTTTGGTTTTTCCGGGATTGAGGAGCAATTGGTTAACAAAACACCAACTCCGGATGGAGGTAATTAAGTCACTGTTCATACGTTCTACCGCATTTTCCTGGTCTTGAAGGTAGAATGACATTAGTAGCTTGGTGGCATCGACATAGAGTTGAGGTGAGGAATTTCTTGGGATGGTCGTTGACATATATGCTAAAGAGAAGTGGGCCAAGGATACTGCCTTGAGGTACACCACAGGATACTGGTAATCGATCAGACAAAGCTGTATAGATGCGGACTGCTTGGTAGCGACTGGATAGATAACTGCGGAACCAAACTATAACAGATTCGGAAGCACCAACATCCTTTAACTTTGCGTAGAGTATCTCGTGATTTATACTATCGAAGGCTTTCGACATATCGAGGAACACAACCGCCGAAAGTTTCTTTTTGTCAATAGCAGATAATATTTCATCAGTAGTGTGGATTACGGAGGTTTCGGTTGAGTGTAACTTTATATTCCCACTTTGTTTAGACGAAAGGCGATTTTCCGATAACAAATAAGACGTAAACTGATCGTGGGCGGCTCTTTCACACACTTTAGACAGAATAGGTAGCAAGGATGTTGGTCTGTTATTATTGGCTACTTGATGATCTCTTTCTTTGGGAATCGGAATAACTTCGGATATTCTCCATACTGTTGGGAAATATGCACTGTCAAACGTGGCATTGATGATTGAGGTTAGAGAAGGCAGTATAGCGGGAAGACAATCTTTAATAACACGAAGTGGAATTTTGTCAAATCCCGGAGCCTTGTTAGTTGCCATATAATACACGATCGATTCAACTTGCTTGGGTTCGGCTGGACTAAACACAAACTGCTCAGTTAAAGGATACTCTTTCGGGACAAATGGATGCTCTTATAACTTGTAGTTTAATTTCACTGTCAATTCACTAATTTTCTTAACGGTGTTCTCGCCTGTTGACGCGAAAAACGATTAAATTCATTGGCCATTGTTTTGTTGTCTTTGCTATAGATCCTTTGCGAAGTCGATTTCTTCGTTATACAAGACTGACTTACTTTCCATAAGGAATTGGTGTTATTTTTGTTTCTTATAATTTGTTGCGCAACATGTTCCCCTCGGCTAATTTAATTTCGTTCTTTACTTCGCGATGTAAATTTTTGTAAGCGGCCCAATTTAAGGATCTTTAGATTTTTTAGCTTTCTTCTTCCAAGAGTCTCTAGTTTTCATAAGTTCCCGAATTTCGTTAGTTACACAAGGGTTTGGCCGCCCCCTAATTTTAATTGTTTTCAATGGAGCATGTTCATCAAGCAAATCATTGAATAAAATATTGAATGCATTAAGTTTATCTTCAACATCATCAAAGACATCTAGGACGACTGACCACGGCGCTTGGGCAACTTCTGATTGAAAATTATTGGCGTTATACTGTTTAAAACTTCTAGTTGTAACATAAACAGGCTTGGGACGAGCCGGTTTCAGTTGAAGCTTCGCGTAAATGATTTCGTGATCACTTATTGAGTTCTCAAACACTTTTACTTCGTTGACTTGCTTCGGATTTGAGGCTAAGATCACATCAATTAGTGCTTCGGAAGAACTAGTCACACGAGTGGGCATATTGACCAATTGTGTCAGGTTATAGGAGGTCGCAAAGTTCATTAAAGATTTTGACTCTGCACCATTGGTGTTAAGTAAATTGCAGTTTAGGTCTCCAAGGATGTGAATGGGTTTATTCCGAAGGGAAGCGGAAATTAAACTAGGAGCTAGGTTACAATCAAAACAGTTCGTCGAGGTATCGGGGGTCTATAGACTGTATATATCACTATTGATCTTAAATTTCTTACTTGTACTTTGATCCAAAGTTGATGAAGTCCTGCTTCGGAGATATAAGAAATATCTTGGAGTAAATGGGTCGTGTAACATTCACGAACATCATCACACACTCCGCCACCTCTCTTGTTTACTTGATGCAGTCGATGTAAGCTGTAACCCGGGATTTCAAGCTCTAAGTCGATCACTGACTGAGTTGTCAAGCCATGTTTCAGATATAGTGAATATGTCGATCTTATTATTTCTTACAATTTCTTTGGCTTCTATGAGATGTGTTCTGCATTTAAGCGAGCGAATGTTAAGATGATCGAGCGATCTTTACGTTATTTACTGATTTCTTCGCCAACTTTCCGGCGTTTCCGCCTACAAGCTGTGCTACAAGTAAAGGATATATTTTTAATATAGTACGCTACATTCCTCCTGTCGGCCGGCAGTTGTTCCGCACGCTTGGTTAAAACTTCGCTTTAAAACCTTCAAGATAAACTATTGTCGGATCAAAATACTATCAAAATGAAGAGAAAAGTGAGACAAATCCATTGGTATACAATACAACCGAAAAAGAGAAAACCAACGATACGAAAGTTATGACGGATCAAACCTACTGCATTTTTAATTAGTTAAATAATAATTTTGAGCGATTTGTCAATTGTCAAAAATACAATTTCACTTGACTTTCAAAGGCCATAAATCGCTAGAATAGTGCTGTTTAGTAGTGAATTTGGCATCCGTAAGTACAATCTCGTACGCTGATTCGAACGATGGTATTTTTGTCCTTGTTGGGTCACTTGGTGAACCAGAGATAGTCTTTCCTGAGAGTCCGAGATTAATTAATTTTAAGGAAGCATTTTACACCGCAATTTTGCAACAGGGGACAGGTTCTATAGCCCCAACAAGTTAACGCTCTTTCGAGCGTCTTGTTTCAATATTAAACGCCGAACCAACATTCTTTACAATCGTTTCCGTATTTTCATGTGCTGTAAGTGGAACGCCAACAATCTCTAGACATTGACACCGAATATATATTGCTCTTGGTCGTCTAAAGACGATTTAGCATGAGATAATTCGTTGGATAAAGAAGATACTTGACATTTGAGTGATTGGTTCTTCTTCTCCTGGTCTTCATTCAATTGATTTAATTTCTCCATTTTTAACTAGGTCGTCATAGCTATTACTCATGTATTCAAGCGAATCGATGAGTGGTGCCAGCTTCTTGTCGAACAAGGATGCCATCTTGCTTTGTAAAATTTCGTCTAATAATTGACTTCAACGAGTCACTTAATTCTTTTGGATCAATCGCCATATCGCTGTTTGTTTAAATCACATGAATTCCACCGATTGTTTACATTTGACATAAAAAAATCAAAATTAAAAACATATTTTAACAGAGCTACAAAACGCCATGTTTAAATCCAGGAAATCGATGGCATTTTGGCTTAATCGTTGCACAGTGAGTCTGTGATGCGCTAACGCAAACTCGATTTCTCGACGACGAAAGGCCGTTTTGCACTAGCCAGAATTTTCCGCGCGAAGCGGAATTTCTCTTTGTCTTAATATATGTGATTTCTCGGGTGGAACTAATTACAAAAGAGAAAGAGAAATTCCGCTCCGCGTGGAAAATTCCGCCTGGCGGAAAACGGCCTGAAGGGAACAGAAGAAAACAGAAGATTAGATTTAAGACACTTGACCTTTCAGGTCAGTGTAACTATGCATCTTATAACACCACTTAAAATCGAGCGTTGGAAAATTCGTTGCTTTTTACACAAGCCGGCGAAATCATTTTTGAGTGGTTATCTTACTGTAGCTGAAGCGATTCGACTCTCGAGATCTATCACCGACTTTCAAGAGGTGTCGTGGCTTCTGTTTAGACTATTTTACTGAATTCGCGTAGACTTTGTCGTTAGTTGTATAATTTGAATTCGTAAACTACAAAGTTAATGCAATAAATATTAGATTAAGCTAAGCTAAAATCAAATAAAATCATGTTCAATTTCTAACTAGATAACTTACATATTTGTCCAATGTTTAAACTGCTTCGAAAGGTTGTTCATACGTCTAATTCTCAATTCCTAATGACTAAGTTCGGCGTGTCACATCTTAGCACATGCACTACAATTTGAATGACTAATTATGCTAATATATACATTTACATGGCTCCTCTGAAATCGCCGATTTCACTACAAGATTTTTTTTTTTTAACGTTTTTCTTTTTAAATAAAAGTTGCTAATAATTTAGGTAATTGAATGTATCTCTGAAATGTACGTTATGGCTCCTCGACGGGGACGGACTCCGCGTCTTGACCTTCACCTTCAACAAGCAATATCAATTTATCAATTGGTCGTTCCAAATGTCTTTGTGACCTTGTCCGTACTCCTTTGCTATCTAAAGAACCGTCTGCCTTGGCCAACATCACGGTACGCACATGTCCATCTTTGCTTCTATTCGTTCTAATAACGCGGCAGTCAGTTCGAGTCTCGGAATTGTAATAGGTTTGAGAGGCGTAACTCTTGCTTTAGCCATCACGAGCGAGCAATAAATATTGCCATTGTGATCTTTCAGTCTTAAGAGTCCGTCTATGTAATTTCCGACCACTCGATACTGGTTCAAAAATAAACCCAGCCTTAAACTTTGTGTGTGGATTAAGAAACCCTTGCTTATCATCAATACAAAAGGGGTTTGTTTCAAATTTCAAAAGATTTCGATATTTGGGCAATTTTACGTGTGTACGTCGAAGCACGAAATTAGCATCGCTGCAACACACAAAAATTAGTCATCTTTGTCACGTTCTCGCGCGCTCAAAAATGATTCAATCCGAGATATACTCTGCAGGCCTGCAGTTTATTACACTAGCTCAGCATTTATGAACTCAAACTTTGGATGTCTTAAAACAACTTGGAGATAGTGCCGACTATAAATACGCGGCTAATCGACCGGGGGAAAAAGTAGCATTTCTAAATATATATTTTCTCCATACTGGCACAACTCTACTTATCAAGAGTTGTACACGCTTAATAATTACGAATAACAGCACTAGTTTCCGTAAAACATCCATGGCTATCATCACTGGGACAAAATAAAACAAATTTGAAATGTGGGGATTTTACATACCTGCGCACGCTAGTTACGGCAATTTACATTCATAATTATCCGCTACAAATCGTAAAACAATCGCACATCAAATAGCTCGGAACAGTGGCTAATACTGCAAAATGTGTTGAAGTCAAGTGTCATTGTGTCAAGATGTAATGTGACACTGTAGAAAGTCTCGCTTCATCATCTCCACGTTTATAGCCGTTTTATTACAACTGTAGTTTTATCCATCTTCCAAATTTGAATCCACACAAAAAATAGGATCCTCCAGAGTACATAACAGCATAACTGTATTCAAATGCAGGCTGGCTGTATAAACTGTTCAAAGTCCATGATGTCCATCTAATTTGCAACAAATTCAAATATTCAATGCGACGTTTCATAGCATGTTGACATTTGCGACGCGTTGTCTGATAAACAAACTTGTCAGTTGCATTGGCTGTGGCATTGGTCAGTTGTCGCCAGTGCTTCCACAACCACGTCTTCAAATGTCCTTTCATGATCAATTTCATAATCTCAAAATTTCTCTGCCACCGAAGACAAAAGAAAGAAAATTCAGGCAAATTTGAGTCAATTTATCACAACACATGTTTTATAATTAAGTTGTACTGTAAGTACCATCGATGCAGCCCGGCGCAATGCTTGGCCCCAAGTAGGTCACATCCATTTGCGCTTTTGCATATATTAAACAGCGATAATTACACATTTTAGCGCAAAGAATCGACAGTATTAATCAATATATAAAGCTCTCTGTTTTGACGCAGACGAGTCCACGCATAAACTTCGAAAATATAATTACATTACCTGAAATTTTAGACAAGCTTGCAAAAGGAAGTGGAAGCACTGAGGACAGTTCGTTAATATCCTTTATAGCAATGGCTAGTTCTAGTCAAAGTTCAAACTGTGGTTTCTATAATATTCACGAAAAAGCATGTGGATTTTCCAGTTTAAGTAAAGCGAAAGATAACGTATTATTGCAAGACTGCACAAGCGATATTTCAAAGCACTTGGCCAACTGTCACTTACCTAAGTCTTTACAAGAGTATGAGGTTATTCTAGCTCGTGCAGGGGTTTTTCGATGGAGTAAAGAGTTCCTCGAAAACACTATAATTTGCCCTACTCACCGAGACGAATTAGGAAAGTATTGGCGGCCCTCCAAATCTTGTCAGTACCCAAGTCACAAAGGAAAACCAAAACAACTGAAGGACACTCACGTCATTAATATCAAGGTTGCCACAGAAATTTTTGACTTGTTTGGATGCACAGTTCCAATCGGATCACGTAAGTCATTATTCGTTTGCGCACCTTCATACCAAAATACGACTTTCTTTCTTATTTTTGAGAGTTTGATTTTTTTCACAGCAATTTGCTCAACATGCAGACGAAGTCATGGGGAGTCAACATGGAAAGCAGAAGAAGGTAGAAATCAAAGAAGGGCATATGAAAGGTTCGTTTTAGCAGTCGGATAAATTAATATTTAGGTCAACCAATTTCGCGCTGCGGAAACGTGCATCAAGGTTCACCACAAGCATCCTGTAGTGAATGTCTCTCAAGCTTGAACCTCAGCTGGTATATATGGGTACACTGTACATTTGCCATATTGAAAATTATCTTTGTTTTTCTTGCAGAGCAACAAACAGTCCAGATGCACGGAATCTTCCCGATATATCAAAACTTAGTGTTTCAACATATTCTGAAAGTAGTGCATGGACACCTGGTGCATTTTCTAGACTTACCTTGAGCAGTGATGATTCACATGAAGACCTTTCAGCCACTGGTGCACTAGAAACTTTCAATGAAACAATGGAAAAACTGGCTGAACATACATCTAGAGAAATTACACCGTTGAAATTTCAACTAACCAGTATGTGGGACGAAGCAACACCCGATGAAAAGCAAGCATGCTTGGAGAAAGCCGAAGAGGCATGTAGGGTTGTGTGTGATATAATTGCTCCTGCGGACGGCTCAAGTCTTTATGACTCACTTCTGAGTGAATCAGACGGGGAACACATCTCAGGTGACCTAGTTGCCTTAATGACTGCATTTGCAGATGCTCCAACGCGTAAGCTGAAACTACAAATACTAAGTATACCGGGTGGCCCAAAAAAAAGTACTCCTGTTTGATTCGTAATAACTTCTAAACAAGTAAAGTTTTTAAAGAGAAATAACTTGCATTAAATAGAGGAAGGACTAACTTAGATTTTGATATACTACAGTTGTATTTAACTTAAAAATTCACGGATATATTAATGTTAAAAATGGGGAGCATATTTTGGAATGTGTCTAAAATTAGCGAAAATCGGCATATCAAATATTAACTCCAGCGTTTGTTTGCTTAATGACATATTAGGCTAACTTGTATTTCAGCGAATTATCGTTAAAGTTTTAAGGGATATGGCGTAGATTTAGACATCTTACATGTAAGTCTTAGCTCATTGTTTCCTGAAATATGAACGTTCGAAATTATGCAAGTATTTAATATTAGGTCTTTGCAAACTTAAATGTACATGAAAGACGGACCATGGAAGGCAGGCGCTTAAATTTTTCGTATTCTTAAATAGCCTAATTTTTTTATGTTTTTAATGGGTTCAAACAGACTGAGTAGATTATTTCTCGGTTAGAGCAGGATGAATATTCTTTATTGGAGGAAATAATATTGCTTTTTGCAAATACACATCACCGTATCAACGCTACTATTTTGTTACGTTTTGTTCCAAAAATGTTGCATGTCTCTGGGGAGTTGCTTAATTGTTATGTCTTATGGAGTTGTATGGTTTGATTGTGTTTCATATAATTCTCAGTTTACTCCATAAACTTGCCAAGATTAAGAAACGGCAAAAGAGTTTGGGTGTTCTTAACAAGATTTCAGAACGTTGCAGAAGTTAGAAGAGCTTCACAATTCCGTTGTGACAGCATGCCCTAATTCAGAACTACGAACGATCCAATGACGATCCTTCGCGATGCAGTGGTCTCATGAAATAAGTAAACGTATTCGTGCTAGGAACACACGCGAATTTCGGACGAATGAATCTTGCTTGTATTTTGTAGATATAATAATACTTTGTTTCATAATAAACAATTTGTCAAGTGTCATTTATTTACTGGTAATAGTGCATGTTTCAGTCGGGCAAACCTTGATTAATATTTGATACGCCGATTTTTGCATATTTCAGACACATCCAGAAATATCCTCCCGAATTTAAAGATTAATATCTCCGTGAATTTTTAAGTGAAATACAACTGTAATATATCAAAGTCTAAGTTAGTCCTTCCTCTATTTGATGCAAGTTATTTCTCTTTAAAAGCTATAATTGTTTAGATGTTATTACGAATCAAACAAGAGTACTTTTTTTTGGGCCACCCGGTATATGCATACCGATATCCAGTAAACACACTGATTAAACTTCACGAGCCATACGGAGGAGTTTCAAAATGGCAAATCAAGCAAGCACGTGCCCATGCAAAGTTGAATGGACCAGGATCAATTCCGGAAAAGACTATTTTCCACAGAGTGCGTATCGATCAGAGTAAACGTGACCATTTCCTTTCTTTCATTAACCGCCCATATTTCTATCAGGATGTTGCATTTGGTATGCGTACGATGACATTGAACAGCGGGGAGAAAATCGAGATGCCTAATATCATCCGCACGGTCTCAAGATCCACTATAGTAGCACAGTACCAAAAATATTGTGAAGAAGAAAAGTTTGTACCGATTAGTAGATCGACAATGTTTAGGATCTTTGAGGTACGAGAAGCGTCGCAGCGTAAATCACTAAGTGGGTTGGATAATACAGCAACTGATGGAGCTATGGGATTTTCAACATTGGAGAATATCGTTTCTGAGTTGGGTCAATTTGGTGCTGACAAGAGATGGGTTGAAGATACGACGAAGATCCTGCGTGATAGTAAACTGTACCTTAAAGTCAAGTACCCCGTTGATTGCACAGAAGAAAATGGCAGTCTTTGCAAAGACCACTGCAGGATGTATGCTCTCAGTGATCCCAAAGATAAGGAACTACAACAAACTTGTCCTCATGAGCATTCAATGAAATGTGAAGAATGTGAAAATCTAAAATTTGTCATCAAAGATATTGAAGAAAAAGTCGAAAACCTGTGCCAACATTCCAGCATGACAGAAAGGCGGGAAGATATGCTCTCCGACCTAAAACAGGCTGCAAAGGATATTTTTGACTGGAAGTCTCACATATTGCGCTCGACCAATCAAGAGAATGGGAAGCAGGACGCCCTTCGGCAACTCGATGAGAAGACAGTTCTAGTGGTCATGGACTGGGCCATGAAGTTCCAGCCGAGAAAATATCGAGAGAAACAATCTGAATGGTTTGGGAAACGTGGGTTGTCGTGGCATGTTAGCAGCGTTATTTCAAAGCATGATGACACATTGAGCGTGCAGTCTTTTGTTCACTTAATTGACAATAGTAACCAAGACTGGTTTTCAGTGGCGTCAATTGTAGAAAATCTTCTTCAGACAGTGAAACAGGAAAACCCGCAGATAACTAAAGCATTTTTAAGGTCGGATGAAGCGGGCTGTTATCACAACAATATGCTGATTTTAGCGTGCAATGATCTTTCTCAGTCAAGTGGTGTACAGATTGTAGGGTATGATTTCTCTGAGCCGCAATGTGGGAAAGACATTTGTGATAGGATTATTTGTCCAATGAAGTCAACTATCAATTCTTTCTGCAATGAGGGACACAACATTCTTTCTGCCGTTGACATGCACACTGCGTTAAAAGAACGACCGGTAAAAGGAGTGACTGCCAGCGTTGGAGTGATCGACAAATCTAAAAATACTTTCGACGTTCAAAAAATGGACGGATTCAGCAAATTCCACGACTTTCGCTTTGAAAAGAATAAGCTAAGAGTCTGGAGGGCTTACGGTATCGGAAAGGGTAAAGTAGTTAAAACTAAATCTCTGTACAAAAATCGCCTGGTTCACCCTTCTTTACTGCACCTGTCAGATGAGCATGGATTCTTTCCTTGCAAAAGTAGAACAATGGACACAAAGGAAGATGCAAAGAAGAATGAAGATCAAGAGATTCATGTATTTGATTGCAATGAGCCAGGGTGCGATAAGTCGTTTGACACATTATCTGATCTGGAACTCCATCTAGATGTTGGAAACCACCAATCCTCTACACATCGGCCTAAAGAGAATTTGTACGATTCCCTAAGACGAGACTGGGCTAAGCAGTTTTCCACCATCACAAATCTCAAGCCAAACAAGGACAAAGCGAAACACAAGGAACTGCTGTTTGGTGGTTCTTCTGAATTATGTGAAGGGTGGGCGTTGGCAACTAGTTCAGGAAATGCTCGTTTTGCAGAGCACGTAAAGTCATACTTAACCACAAAATTCGACCTGGGTATAACGACCGGTAACAAAATCACACCAAAAGAGGTTGCACAAGACATGCGTCGTGCAAGGAACGAGGAAGGGGAAAGACTCTTTTCAAGAGACGAGTGGCTGAAAGAGAGCCAGATTAAAGGCTTCTTTTCTAGGCTGACATCCTCACGAAAAAGATCAGCACCTTTAGAAACCGAAGAAGAATCAGACGATGAGTGGGAAGAGTATGAAAATGAACTAGAGTTGCTAAATTTTATCCATGAACGCATTGGCTTGAAGCATCCAATTATCTATGATACTTTTAACCTTTGTGAATATGCTGCAAAAGGAAGACTCGCAAAACTTAATAATACTATATTAAAAGAAATTCTTGATCACTATGAAATAATTTACACATCAAAGGAAAGAAAACAAGACTTTGTAACAAAGATCGAGGAAATGGTGAAAGAATGTGGGTGCCTGCATTGCCATTGATGGCGAAACTTTTCCTGCATGACCGTCGCTTGCAACTAAGGATGAACAGTCGCTGATAAAACACTGTCTATTCTCACAAGAACGCCCATTGATTTTACCAAGAAAGTTCAAAGTTTGTAATGACCATTTGACGGTTTCAATTAGATCAGGTAATTGTCTAGTCTCCCTCGCAGCCGCTATTATTACCATTTGCAAGCAACCGTTCGGCCCAAACATTTCTATACGCGTTGTTTTACACTTGAAACATGCACGTTTGGCCTTGGAAACGTGTATGTTTGGCCTTGGAAACATGTATGTTTGGCCTTGGAAACATGCACGTTTCTAAGTGGTTTTAGACAGTAATTTGACATTTGACGAGTAACGCCCACATGTTTATCAAACGTAAGGGTACATTCAGAGCAAAATTTGAAACGATTGTGATTTTATACAAATTGAATTATTAATTTTACTAAGTATCAACATTAATAACGATGCCAGTGCAAGTAAAAACTTTATATGGTCTAAAACTACTGTTTAAAACTACTTAGTAAACGTGTATGCCTTCAAGGCCAAACGTACACGTTTCCAAGGCCAAACATGCACGTTTCCAAGGCCAAACGTGCATGTTTCAAGTGTAAAACAACGCGTAAAAATGTTTGGGCCGAACGGTTGCTTGCAAATGGTAATAAAGATTCTCACGCGAATAGACAATTTTTTATCCGCGACCGCAACTGTTCACCTCTAGTTGCAAGCGACGGTAAACCAGGCGAAAATTGGCAAGTTTGTTTATCATTAGAAAGAACGCAATGTCAAAATAAAGTTCCCATTCAATTTGTTACAAATGCATCATCTTCATGCAGTTTGTACAGCCTGCATTCGAGTAAAATTATGTCTATGGAGGACGCTGTTTTGTGTTTTTATGGCCGCTTTGGAAGTTGGATAGCAGCCATAAACATAGCGCCGCTGTATCGGCATGGAGGTGATGAAGCGATCTTTCTTTCCACAGTCTCGCAACATAAAGAAATCCTTGAAAGTGTTCTCAACACAACGACACTTGACTTCAACACATTTTGCGCTAAGATGTGTAATTATCGCTGTTTAATATATGCAAAAGCGAAAATGGATGTGACCTACTTGGGGCCAAGCATTGCGCCGGGGCTACATCGAGGGTACTTACAGTATGACTTAATTTTAAAACATGTGCTATGATAAATTGACTCAAATTTGCCTGAATTTTCTTTCTTTTGTCTTCGGTGGCGGAGAAATTTTGAGATTATGAAATTGAATGTGAAAGGACATTTGAAGAGGTGGTTGTGGAAGCACTGGCACAAACTTGTTTATCAGATAACGTAAATGTCAAAATACTATGAAACGTCGCATTGAATTTGTTGCAAATTAGATGGACATCATGGACTTTGAACAGTTTATACAGCCAGCCTGCATTTGAATACAGTTATGCTGTTATGTACTCTGGAGGATCCTGTTTTCTTTGTGGATTCAAATTTGGAGGATGGATAGAATTACAGTTGTAATAAAACGGCTATAAACGTGGCGCCGCTGTATCGGCAAGGAGATGATGAAGCGAGACTTTCTACAGTCTCGCATTACATCTTGACACAATGACACTTGACTTCAACACATTTTGCAGTATTAGCCACTGTTCCGAGCTATTTGATGTGCGATTGTTTTACGATTTGTAGCGGATAATTATGAATGTAAACTGCCGTAACTAGCGTGCGCAGGTATGTAAAATCCTCACATTTCAAATTTGTTTTATTTTGTCCCAGTGATGATAGCCATGGATGTTTTTACGGAAACTAGTGCTGTTATTCGTAATTATTAAGCGTGTACAACTCTTGATAAGTAGAGTTGTGCCAGTATGGAGAAAATATATATTTAGAAATGCTACTTTTTCACCCGGTCGATTAGCCGCGTATTTATAGTCGGCACTATCTCCAAGTTGTTTTAAGACATCCAAAGTTTGAGTTCATAAATGCTGAGCTAGTGTAATAAACTGCAGGCCTGCAGAGTATATCTCGGATTGAATCATTTTTGAGAGCGCGAGAACGTGACAAAGATGACTAATTTTTGTGTGTTGCAGCGATGCTAATTTCGTGCTTCGACGTACACACGTAAAATTGCCCAAATATCGAAATCTTTTGAAATTTGAAACAAACCCCTTTTGTATTGATGATAAGCAAGGGTTTCTTAATCCACACACAAAGTTTAAGGCTGGGTTTATTTTTGAACCAGTATCGAGTGGTCGGAAATTACAGGGACGGACTCTTAAGATTTGGATGTATTTTTCGAGCTGAAGATTAAATCATTTCAATATTTAATGACAATTTATACATCGCCACACTCAGAGAAACCAAGGCGAACTTCTGCTGTGGTTGGCATCAGGATATTTGCTTCAATTGAAAATTAAACGGGTAGATCGCTTCAGTCTGTATGCTTTTCAATAATTTCACGTCAGTTTTGCATGATTGAAGAATTGAGAAATTACAAGCGTTACTTTAGTTGGAGCGCAACAGTTACACATCCAGTAATCTTCTATAAAAGGTGCCTAAGTGCCCATTTGAAAAACCAGAGAGTCATGTTGGCTTTAGCAACAACAGAAAAAATATGAGTGTTCCAGGTGTTAACTAGAGGGCACTCAGAGACTGCATACCTCCGCCCGTTACTCGGAAGTGAAAGGCAACCTTGGAATTTCCTAAGAAATCCACTTTACAATTCTTAAGCATAAAAGATTTCAGGCCCCCGCGAATTGAAATCGAATTGCTAATAGAACATATTACTGTTGTTGTGCTGTACAGTACTTGTAAAATAAAAACTTATTAATTTAAGTGTCATTAAATAAATGCATAAATTTTGCTTTATGCACTCGCGCGTGCAGTAATTTTCACAGTTGTGCTATTTTAAATTCCCAGGCAGCTAAAATCTTTTGTCTTTAAAACAATGTCGATTTCTTGGGAAATTCCGAGGTTGCGTTCTTTTTATACACCCTGTATTGAAGTAATCTAATGTTGTTAGAATTTGAATGGACTGGCACTTTGCTGAACGTAATAATGCGTAACTCCGTAAGCCTTGTTTTAGACATTGAATTTCGGTCGCGTGAAATGCAACTAAGACAATAGATAATGAAGGCCGAAGCTTAATGAGGTTTATCATCTCATTATTGTCTTAGCACTGAGTGCATAAATTATACATGTCCTAATTACGCATTCAGTAATATTTTTTGTTAATTGACCGGGAAAAGCAAGACAAAATTTTGTTCATTTCTCGTTCAATTTTTAACCAAATTCAACCAAATTTTAATCAGTTCTTCCTTAGCCGATGGGAAATGCATTCAAAAAATTTCGTACGGATATGTTTGGTATTTCTTGAGTTATCGTGCTCACAGACAAACACACACACATACACACACACGCACACACACACACACACACACACACACACACACACACACACACACACACACACACACACACACATACACACACACACACACACACACACACACACACATACAAACCCAGATGATTACATAACCTCCTGGCGGAGGTAACTACGATCACGAAATCTTTGTATGAGCGAACCGGAACAGCAGGTGGATGGGCAATGGTGCAGGGATTAACGGTGGGGGAGTGAATCGTTTTTCACATACTTTTAAATTTCACATTTGTCGCGGTTTAATAATCAGATCATTTTCACATTGAACTTAAATCAGGATGAAGAGCAGTACAATTCTCTGGATTAGAAACCACTCGGCAAAATCCGTTTAATAGCTAAGGACGTCAGTCAGATGAAAGAGTCTTCCATGAGGAAACGAGTCAAAGGCTTTACTGAAGTCCAGGTAAGTGACATAAAACGAGGTACCCAAGCTACGAACACCTGAGACTAACTGTTTAACACAAAATCTGCCTCGAACAAAATAGTATAATTGCCCAAACGTAACGACTTGTTAAAAAGTAAACAAGGTAGCCCCAGAGACAGTTCGGGTCAGAAAAACATCACACTGACATGCTCTACCTTTTTACTTTACTGACGAAATCTGTCCCAAATGTCGGCCCCAAATTGTCGTCAAAAATATTGATTTCCATTGAAGTTGTTATCTTAAATTAACCTAAATAGTCTTCAAGTGGATCGTTCCTGAACGCAGTTTTTCGTCCTTGAAATTCAGCCACTTTGAGGTTAATATTTTCCAGTCTATTTTCATTAAAGGCGCGTGAAGTGAAATTCAAGTCAAACATTTTTGTTTCATGGTCTGACAACACATTCATCAGTTATGGTTGACAAGTCTCCAAACAGAATCAATTTGTTGTCATAAATCGAGTTACATGTAGCAATTAGCACTTGTATTGTTTGAGGTCCATAGACTACAGCGACAAGAACGTTTCCAGAGCTGTTTGTGTTTATCGCAACAGCTAACAGTTCAAGGTTGTTGTTCTTCGTAATAGCAAGTGGTTCGCATCGTAAATTAGTATAAGCTGCTCAAAAACGCCGCCAGCGTGAAAGGCTTATCTCAGTTTTTTTTTAACTTACGGTCGTACTGAAAAATGTTCTAGAGGTACCATTGATCTGTGAAAAAATACTTCAGTAAACTGTCAGATGATTTATCTAAACCAGTTTTCCATTCGACGTTTATCTCATGCAAACTTCAAAGCTGCTGTCATATCTGATCATTGATGAGGTAACCGAATTAGTGACGCTTATGTATAAAAAAATAAACTGCCTGGTCATAATGTTTGGAGCAGTGTTACAAAAGTCAGTCAACGTTATTTCCAAAAACGGAATTGACGTCCAAACATTGTTGTGCATTCTCGCACTCCATGTGTTCTTCTGCTGTTTCAATAATGTCTTTCATTGTTTTTACGCTGCGTGAGTCCAACGACTCTCCCATCTCGATTGCTGTATTAGCATATTTCGCGGCTTCTTTGCAATCAGGTTTCCAGGCACGATACGTTCTTGCCAACGCACAATAGACATTGGCTCTACAAGGGGAGTGCTTCTGAGCGCGTTTGTCAGCTATGTCGCGAGCTTCGTTTAATATTTTCACCGATTCATCAAAGAGACGAAGAAAAGACAAGCATGAACCATAATTCTTTAGCAAGTACACAAAAGGCTCGTTGGGATCAACTTTTAGTTTCTTGCTCAGTTTTATGGCCCCGGAATAATACAGCAACGCCTTACTGTTTTTCCGCAAAAGTGAGTACAGGTCTCCTAATAATTTATGGGAAATACAAGTTAATTCATGATCGCCCAACAACTCTTGAGATATCGACAAGGCTTGACTGGAAAATGACTTTGCACAGTTCATGTAATCCTCGTACTTTTCTTTATCTGAATGGAATACTTTACTTGCACGTTTCTTGCTCAATTGTGCACGTTGGATTAAAAAAAGTGTCTCTTCAGCATTCTCCATTGGGTTTTGATATTGGTTATCAGGCAAAGGCGCAAGATTATCTTCTAGAAGATCAGGATATGGTGTATTTGGTGCTATGTTAGAATAATATCGGGCATAAAAATAGTAACAATAGCTATATAAGGACCTATCCTCTTTCAGCACCGCTTTATTTTGGTCTAAAGCATCCTTGATCGCCTCCATCATGTCGATATATTCAGTAGATTTCCATGCGGATTTACGACCTTCTTGATCCGCTACCAGACACTGAAATGTAATCTCAATGGTTAGTTGCTTTTGAATTTTCGCCAGATTAATACAATATTCCTGAAAATTCCTCAAAATAATTTGTGGAAGAAGATCCCGGCAGAAACGGTAAAAGAACCTGGATGAAGATTTGTAAATATCACTACTTACTAACAACTCAAAGATGTTTGGATTCAGGTTTGTTGCTTGATCTTGGCAGCAGACTTTTAACGTTTCCTCAACATTGTGGCTGTCCGTCTTCAGTAATTCTCTGGCACCAGTGTATCCATTTTTAGAAAAAGAATCCATGGTTAAAGAATGACACATCTTCAGAAAATGCTTCACCATCAATCCTTGTGCTGTAACCTTTTCATCTTGAAGTTGATGATGATTGGCCAGAAAGCGTCGAATAAGTGAATGAATCACGAAGCGCTTGTCACTGCTTCTCTGCATTAAACTTCGAGCAACGAGCTGCTCTAAGAAATCTTGAGTTACCAACTCATCTCTCTCAATTACCTCCTCGGCAGACTTCCTTTGGAAATTTCCATTGAACAACGAAAGGCGAGCCAACGCTTTCCTATCATCATCATTCAACTGCTGGAAAGAGAACTCGATGGCTTTTCGGACACACTGGCTTTTGTCAGAGGTCAGCAAAGTTTTCACAGGCTTCTCTTTTAGCCAATTAATCAACTCAGAAGGATCATCAAGATCTGCAATTCGAGGTCCAGCGATACACAAAGCTAGAGGAATAAAACCACACAAGTTAGCCAAGTCACACAAGTAACTATATTTCACTTCTGTATTAGGGCAGCACTTTCTCAAAAGTTCGACACTAGATTTTTCATCCAACTCTCCTATTTGAACGTTTTCGGTGGTTTGTTCAGGAATTGCGAATTCGGTTCTTGTCGTTGTTAGGATCTGCAACTGTTGCTGTGAATTCTTGCGGAGCGTAACCACTAACTCAGTAAATTCGGATCTCACTTCTTCTTCAAGCAGTTGCTCGATGTTGTCCATGACAAGGACAACTTTTTTCTCAATATTCTTTAACCAAAACATCAACGCTGATTCAGGATCCTCTCCAGGATTAACGCCAACGTCAAGACAGAGACGTAGAAGAACTTCAGGCACAGTTGAAACATTTGATAGAAACGAGAAAATAACGACGATGTCATGCTTGTTGCTTAAATGATGGGAAACGTCAACTGCAATGGTGCTTTTGCCAAACCCTGGTCCACCAACAATCGAGACAATTCCACAGCCGTTCTCCACCAAGGAATAAATAATTTTATTTACTTCGGCCCAACGCCCAACAAATGTCAGTGGTTTGTCGGGTATGCTGCTGTTTTGTTGGAGCTGTCGATCAGTTCTAACAACGTTCACGATATTTTGCATGTGGTTTTTTTCTTTAATCCATTCTTCTGCTGTTTTAATAATATCTTCCAATGATTTTACAGTGCGTGGGTCCAACAACACTTGCATCTCCTTTGCCACTTTAGCGTATCTCGCGGATTCTTGGCAATCAGGTTTCCAGGCACGATACGTTTCTGCCAACTGATAATACACATTTGCTCTACAAGGTATGTGCTTCTCAGCGAGCTTATCAGCTACGTCACGCGCTTCGTTTAAATTTTCCACTGACGCTTCAAAGCGACGAAGAAAACGAAAACATAACCCACAATTCTTGAGCAAGTACACAAAAGCCTCGTTAGAATCATTCGAAATAATACCTCATTGCCTCTTCGTTCTTCCGCCAGTGTAAGTATAAGTCTCCTAACAATTTATGACAAATACACGTTAATTCATGATCGCCCAACAACTCTTTAGCTGTCGACAAAGCTTGGTTGTAAAATGATTTTGCACAGTTCATGTAATCCTCGTACTTTTCTTCATCTGAATGAAATTTAATTGCACGTTTCTCGTTCAAACGTGCACGTTGGATTAAAATAAGTGCCTCGGCAGCATTCTCCATTGGGCTTTGATACTGATTACCAGGCAAAGGCGCAAGATTATCTTCTAGAAGATCAGGATATGGTGAATTTGTTGCTATGTTAGAATAATATCGGGCACAAAAATAGTAACAAAAGCGATGTAACGACCTATCTTCTTTCAGCACCATATCATTTTTGTCAAACGCTACCTTGATCGCCTCCATCATGTCGATATATTCAGTAGATTTCCATGCAGATTTACGACCTTCTTGATTTGCTACCAGACACTGAAATGTGATCTCAATGTTTAGTTGCTTTCGACTTTTCGCCAGATTAATACAAGATTCCTGAAAATTCCTCAAAATAATTTGCGGAAGAAGATACCGGCAGAAACGGTAAAAGAACCTGGATGAAGACTTGTAAATATCACTACTTACTAACAAGTCGAAGATGTTTGGATCTTGGCAGCAGACTTTTAACGTTTCCTCAACATTGTGGCTGTCCTTCTTCAATTTTTCTCGGGCATCGGTGAATCCATCTTTCGTATAAGAATCTATAGTCCACAAATGGCACATCTTTAGAAAATGTTTCACCATCAATCCTTGTGCTATTGCCTTTTCATCTTGAAGTTGGTCATGATCGGCCAGATACCGTCGAATAAGCGAATGAATCACGAAACGGTTATCGCTGCTACTCTGTATTAAACTTCGAGCTACAAGCTGCTCTAACAAATCTTGCGTTTCGAAATCATCTCTCTCAATTACCTCTTCAGCAGACTTTCTTTGGAAATTTCCATTGAACACGGAAAGACGAGCCAACGCTTTCTTGTCTTCGTTAGTCAACATTTGGAAAGAAAACTCGATGGCTTTTCGGACACATTGGCTTTTGTCAGTTGACTGCAAAGCTTTCATAGGCTTCTCTTTCAACCATTTAATCAATTCAGCAGGATCATCTAGACGTGGAATTCTAGATCCTGTGATACACAAAGCTAGAGGAACAAAGCCACACAGCTTAGCCAAATCAGACAGGTTTTCATCTTTTACTTCTTTGTTGCGGCAAAACGTTCTCAAAAGCTCGACACTAGCATTTTTATCCAACTCTCTTACATGAACGTTATCGGTAGTTCGATCAGAAAGTGAGAATTCGGTTCTTGTCGTTGTAAGGATCTGCAACTGTTGCCGTGAATTCTTTCTGAGCGTAGCCGTTAACTCAGTAAACTGAGATATCACGTTGCTTTCAAGCAGCTGCTCAATGTTGTCCATGACAAGGACAACTTTCTTCTCAATATTCTTTAACCAAAATATCAACGATGATTCAGGATCGTCTCCAGGATTCACGCCAACGTCACGACAGAGACGTTGAATAACTTCAGGCACAGTGGAAACATTTGACAGGAACGAGAAAATGACTTCAATATCATGACTATCGGTTAAATGATGGGAAACTTCAACTGCGACAGTGCTTTTTCCAAACCCTGGTCCACCAACAATTGAGACAATTCCACAGCCTTCATCCACCAAGGAACAAACGATTTTCTTCACTTCGGCGTCACGCCCAAAAATTGTTGGCGGTTTGTCGGGTAAACAGCTTTTTTGTTGGAACCGATCATTAGTTCCTTGTAATGACTTGATGGCAGCACGAATTTCACGAATTTCTCGGCAAAACAACTTATCAAAACGATCCATTCTTGTTGAGCATTCCTTTGTGCAATTTACCAAATTTTCTAACATTCTTTCCTGTTCCTTGATAACTTGTCTGCCGAAGCTTTGATCTTCGTCTCTTAAATGCTTCATCTCTTCTTTTAACTGGCTGACATCCGCACCTAACACGCCGCGCAGTGAATTCAGAGCTTTTAACTCGGCTTCCACCACATTGCTTATTTTGTTAGTTTGTACTAACTTGATATCCTCTATGCATTTCTTGACTTCGTTACAGCTAAAAACATTATCAAGGTCGGCAACAAACTTATTGGCAATATCAAAAGCGTTGTTAAAATCAGCATCGGCTAATTCTTGGTTTGGTGCATGCGCCCAAGGGTTTCTAACTCCTGAACGAAGATTCTTAACGAGATCGAGATCCACACGCCTGTCTGGAGAAAAAGCTACGTCTTTCATCCATACAAGAACGTTCAAAAGATGTGATAAATCAGTGGATTCTGCTTCAATAACGGTGCCCTTGTTGTCTCCAAGGACAGGCATGAAGAACTTAGCTACCTCCCATGGATCAACAGGCAACTTTGATGTGTCGCAGTTTTTACGCCATTGGATCTTTCGTTCATCTTTATTTAGATGTGATTTAGCCAGCTCTTTGTACCATCCATTGCAAGAGCGGCAAAGGTCGTCAGGCTTCTTTTTCATTTGGCAATTTCCAGGATTTGGGCATTGCCCAAACGGAAGGCAATCTTTACACAGTGTGACATGCCATCTTTCCACGATATGGGTGGTGTACAAAGCGACAGGTTTCTTAATTAGATTGATCACTTCTCCAACAGTTATCCAGTTTATGTGTTCCTTGGACGAATTCATTCCTGATGAAGCAGAACTGTAAAAAAAATATGTAAAAAAATGTAAAAAAATGTAAATGTAAAAAAAATAATATACGATAATGAAATAACATGTAAAAATAACCATTACCCTACTTACAGTTTGTAAAAATAACCATTAACCTGTGCTAAATGTAAATGTCGAAATCTTACGTGCGTTGTCAAATCACAACTGTCAACTGAATCAATTATTTATGCTACGTACATGTAAATCAGGGGCGCTGTCTTGGTCTCGCCGCCCGTGTTTTACTGCGCCCTGGTATACAAGTGACATGGCGCTATGGAGTAAGGGCGCGCGCCCACCATGTCACGGCATTTTAATCATAACAGGCAACGCTTATTAAATATGTTAAATTACGTGCGACAAACCATTCCATTTTGACAAACAGGTCTGACGCTGTATTAACTGCATACATCTCCCCACTGCCAGAACGAGCATGGATTTTCTCACTCTGAGCGTTCGAAGATCTTAATCTTTAACTGTTCGTAAGTTTGCCAGATTTTTAAATGTTGGGCAAACAGGCACTTTTTCAAAAAGCATTTGTTAAACATGTAGCAATCTCCATCTCGGCAAACGAACTCACAGCTAAATTACATATGTAATATGTAGAAGGTTAAGAAAGTTCCAAATCCCCCTTGTTTTATTGCTCTCCCTGAAGGTACTGGTGAAAGCATAAAGCCAAATTTGCGATTTTGCGTAGGCCGTAGTCGAAGTACTGCAGTAGTGTTGAATATGAAATCTATCACTTTGATAGTTTCATACATGATAACAAGTTTGTTCTATGTTGATTAAATGGTTTTCAAAGCGAGTTTGTTTTAATTAATTGTTTTAAAACGCTTCGTTTTCGACAAAACGCTTACACAACATATCTTCTTACACAAGTTCTTACACAACATATCTTCAACGACGACTTGCTAAAGTTAACATGCAGGTAGTGGTTAACTCCTTTTGGCTGAAAAATCTCGCAGTACATGTGGTCAAACTCGTAGTCAAAGCTAAAGATCTTTAATATGAATTGTCGAAAGACAGCAAATGAAAACGCAATAAATTTTAATACCCTGGAGTGTTATGTATACGTACGACTCACCGCAACCGAGTTAAAAGACGTTTGGAGACTATATTGGTCGCGGGTTCGAATCCCACCGCGGTGAAGCTGTTTTCAGCTTGTTCGAGTCTGCACTTAGAGTAGCATGAACAAATAACAATAACACCTGAGTTTAATATGCACCACAACAATAAGAGTATAGATTTTTAGACAGAATAACAGATACTGAAATCAAAGGAACTACTTTCAGTTCCGAAATATCACTTACTCGAACCGACTTGATCTCGTAGCTCAGTTCGTAGAGCGATGAACTAGCATACTAAAGGTCGCGGGTTCGAATTCCACCGCGATCAAGCTATTTTTCAGCTTTCCCGGTGTGGAGTCTGCACTAACCATAGATATCTTATATACACTAGATAGTGTATCTAATTAATCTGCAATTCAAAAATTGAAGCCGTGATTGCAGTCTCAGGTCGTTCCCATGAAATGAGAAGATTGGTATGTTTTCCATTTCTTAAACAGGGAACTTAAACATTAAGTTAAACCTATTCCAAATACATTTTCAAACTATTCAAATGATGAAAGTTATTGTTGTTTTTATGCGTTTATTAGCAAGTGGGAACGACCAACATGGCCGCCATCTATTCAAATGGGGGTAACCGCTGGAATATTCTTGGCTTCAACTTTACTAAAAGAGATGCGCTATCTAGTGTATATAAGATATCTATGGCACTAACAAATAACTACTAGAATACCTAAAAGGTAGCGAGTGCTGCCTGTTATTCCCACATATTAAGTACAAATTATTACACTGGCCTGTAGGCCAAGTGTCTTAAATCCCTCTTTTTCTGTCTTTTCCTGTGTTTTCCTGTTTTTTTTCGTAGTCGAGAAATCGAGTTTGCGTTAGCTCATCGCAGGCTCAGGGTGCAACGACTAAGCCAAAATGCCATCGATCCCCTCGGTTCCATGATTTACATTGTATAGTAATAAGTCCGTATTTATGTACGTAATAGCCGACTCATGCCATGCTTGTGGTGCACTTTTCGTTTATTAGCCCATACACTTGTACGCACGCGCATAATTCCGAACTCCAATGGCGGCTTTTCACAGAGTGATCAAACTATATTTTACACAGTTTCGTTGAATTTTCTAAGAATTGTGCCGGTTTCCCATGGATTTTACGTTGTGTCGTACTCTGGACTTTCTTGCGTGTTGAATTAATGTGTTTTTCTTTGTGTAACGACTCGAAAATTTAGACCCAGCGAATTTATACAATATATAGAAGGGTGGCCGGACATTTTGCCGAAAGACACTTTGCCGAAAGACATTTTGCCGAAAGACATTTTGCCGAACGGACATTTTGCCGACGGACGTTTTGCCGAACGGACGTTTTGCCGAACGGACATTTTGCCGAATGGACATTTTGCCGAACGGACAGTTTGACGAACGGACATTTTGCCGAAAATAGAGACATCTTCTGAACTTTAAAGGTTCGCTTACACGGTCAAAGTTTCTGTGATTAAAGTCATTAATTGTAGATTTTGATGACAGAAACTTTGATAGTGAGGTATAGTTTCGTTTTATATTCTTCACGTTTTTGACAAGTTTGCCGAAAATTCGCGATATAAAGAATAACATCATTAACATCATTCATGAATGTGATTTCCCCGAGAACTGCAGTGAACGTATTCCATGATTCTCGAAGTGAAATTCGCTCACGTCATTTTTATATACGCTTGTTTGTTTACGATCTGACGTCAAGACACGTTCCTAACAAATGAGTCATCCGCTGCACAAACAAGCTACCAATAGTCAATATGGTTATGCACTGCTAACAACCGTCATGCTCTGCTAATGACCATTATGCACTGCTAATGACCATATAATGGTTATTTTACACAATGGTTCAGAATTACACAGTTGAGAAATGAGTCACAGTCCCAAACATTTTGACGAAATAACATCTTTATTTTCGGCAAGTTGTCCTTTCGGCAAACTGTCCGTTCGGAAAAATGTCCGTTCGGCAAAATATCCGTTCGGCAAAACGTCCGTTCGGCAAAATGACCGTCGGCAAAATGTCCGTTCGGCAAAATGTCTTTCGGCAAAGTGTCTTTCGGCAAAGTGTCTTTCGGCAAAATGTCCGGGTACCTTTTCATCACTTATTATAATAAATATAATAGGAAATGAGATTTTAAAGTCAAACATAGTACAAATCTAACAAGGCTGTAGACAGCACAGAGGGCAGCAGGGGCAACTCCCCCCCCCCCGCAAAAATTTAACTAATTTTATGTGATTATGATTGAAACTCGGATAATTACGCAGTCAAAAAATAAAAATTTCATGGAAACAATATTCGCAGTGTCTATTTAGTAAACTGTCACTTGTCAATCCATACCCATTTTGAAAACTTTATTGTAATCATATGAAGCAAAAGTTCTGTCACTTGTTGTTCACACTTGCCAACGTTAACTGTTGAGTAACATACACAAACTATTCGAGGAACATGCAATTAATACTGTAGCAAAGAGTCCATCATATATCGAAGCAGTGGCGTGCTGGCAGGGGGGCCACGCCCCCCCCCCCCAGCTGGCAATTCTTGGTGGACGCAAAAATGAAAATGGGGCGCAGAATTTTGAAAGTAGGTGGGAAAAAACGCATTCTCGAAAAAATATGGTTACTTCTGCCAAGACGACGTGTTTATAAGCTACAGTATAAAACAGACTAAGCGCATAGGCGACATATATTAAATTGCTACCTCACAGCTCACACGAAATCGTTCATATAGAAACATGATCAGTGATCACAGGCAATGTCTCATTACCGGAATATTGGTCAGGTTTCGATCGAAGCGATCACGGGAATTATGCCCTTTTTTGCTGGTATTATGCCCTTATATTATGCCCTTTATTATGCTTCACGAATTACGCAAATGAGATAGTTGAAGTTATGATAACTGATGTAAAGTTGTGTACACAATTTAGTAGTTTGCACAAGAAGCATGAGTAATGTAAGTAATGAAATAATGCTGAAACATGCCCTTTTGGCAAGGAAAACTTAAAATGCATATGCGTGGGGTGCATGTGTCATTGTATAAAAGAGCTGTAAGTTGTAAATGTGCTCAGAACAGTAGATCAGTAGAGAACAGAATTGGGATTAGATTAATCGCTGGAAGTAGTTAGCATTGCATAATTTAAGTACTACTACTAGAAAATACATGCATGCAGAAACCCTCGCCTTGCTGACAAAACCATTGTATTTTCCGAACGTGAAGTATCTAGAGCAGTTGTCATGGTAACACGATAATTTTTTAAGAATATTCTTACAAATCTCCTAAAAATATCACTTTTAATTACAAAGTTATCAATTTCCCAACATATATGTTAGGTATGTTATTATACGTAATATAGGCTTCAATTTAAGATAAAATTCAACAACAAACGCTTCGCAAAACGTTTTAAAGTGTTCTTTATAAAACTAAACAGCCTTTTATAATTAAATGGCTTTATCGATAAACTTTGAGTTTGCAATATAATGATTTCAAATTCTCGCTTGCAAATAACTTTGCTTTCTTTTTTATTTAAAAAATTCAATATAATAAAAAAGGGAATCAATATTAAAGATACACTGAAATTATATGCTGTCTTGTTTAGTTGTTTCATATACGCAAAGGCCGTCCGGTTTGAAATCGATTATAAAATCAATATTTAAAACAAACTTACCTTCGTTAACGTCGGCTCCCTTCCTGTAGCCGATTCTTTCGCCCTTTCTTTATGAGAAAACTTTTGAAATTTACAAAATCTTGCAAAAATGCGAACAAAAAATTCATCAATCATCAAATCAAGAAATGTTTTCTATTTCGCTGTCGTCATGCAGTCGTTATAATCCTTATAATGCAAATTTTAAATTGGACCAATCAGTGTCCGCTATTCATGACAGTCCGTCATATATTTGAGATCAGTGAGGATGACCACCCACGGTTGGTCACCCACGCCCGCGATATTTGATGAACTTTAGACTCCGCTAATGCTTTCGTTTCCCCGGGAGTAAATAGCCGGGGGGAATTAGTACCCTCGCACGGCGCTTCGCGCCGCCGGCTCGGGGACTAAATTCTAACCAAATTGCAAATTTCGACACGTTATAATGCCGTTTCCTGACCATCAGATTTCTGTCAAATCTTCCCCCAAAGTCCAGGAAATGGCATTTCAGAGACTCTAAATTCAAAAATTTTCCTTGGGGGCATGCCCCCGGACCCCCCTAGACAAACCTCGCACCTGCGGCACTCGGCTCGTGCCTTCGGCCCTCGTTTATCAAGCGTAACATTATAGGGGCGCATGTTGGTTGACAGCCCACTGGCCCCTCCAGAAAAATAGTACCCAGCACGCCACTGTATCGAAGACCACTGAATAGTAGAGAATGTTTTAAAGATCATGAGTGAAGTATATAATTAAATTCCAATCCTGTGCACAGTTAATGATATACCACACTGTTCGGTTTAACACAACATATCCACACAAAAACAATTTGTGTTGTGGGAGAATATCGGTTTGAGTAGAAGGTATCACAAGTTCAGTTTTGTACATATTATGTGCCATTGATCTGACCATCCATATAATATATGATTATTGTAGCTGTTATTACAGTATCCATATACCATTGATACTTATGAATTTAGGTAAGATTGTCTTGCAAGTGGGTTGTTCTGACAAAATTATCTAGCCAATATCCAGTACATTTATTCATCATTCTTGCATTAATCTCTAGACAAAAACATTTATGTTAGAAAGCAAAATAACAATGTAATATTAGGGTGGGGATTCGTTTATTAGCATTTGAAAATGTTTGTTAAAATTTTGTATAATTATAAACTCTATTAAATGTGTAAAACCAAAATGTATAAGTATTGTAAACTGATAACATCTTTAACCTCCAACACTACATTTGATGACAGCTTAGTTGGACTGTTGTTTTGAACAGAGTTTATACAGAAATATACGACCAGGATTTATTTCAATATCTCCCAAGACCATTAGTTTCCTTTGGTATTGTTCATTGGAAATATTGCCTGCTATGTTTTGACTGTTTAAAATATTAGAGAAGTCACAGAAGGATTGTTTTACTGTATAAATCTTTTTGTGAACTATGTTGACAAATGGCTTAAAATATCCTCGAAAATATCCAATATTTTATACAGTGTAATATATTAATAAAAAATTCCAGAGTGCATTTCATGTACACAGTCTCTACGCCGAAGATACGGCAATATTAACTATAGATAGTATACAGTAATTTGCCGAACTCATGTATTAAATATGTGGGATATATATTTGCACAAATTTGGTATTTAAATCTATAATATATGGTATTTGACTACTTACCAGATGAGGATAAGATTCCATGTTGATAAATAACTTCGGAATAATATCGCAAGTAGAGAAAACTCTTCAGCCAATTCAAGATAAATTGATAAAAATATCAAGATATTTTTGAAAGAATAACACGATTTCAATCTCGTTCCCCGAGCCTGCGATCCTCGGGAAGGAATCGAAGGCTCTGGGATAATCCGTTACCGGAAGCCAAGAATCCTGGCTAAGATTGAACTACGCATCCATTTCAATGGCCAATCAGATTCCTCCCTGAAACGGATTATCCCAGAGCCTCGCGTTCCTTCCCGAGGATCGCAGGCTAGGGAACGAGATTGAACACGATTTATACACGAGGCCTGACGAGGCTAGAGTATGCCCGTTCGCAGGTTAGATGCGGGCACGATGTAAACAATTGATGTAAACTGATCGCTGATTGGCTTAAATTGGCATAAATTGGCTGAATTATATAAGCCCGTCGCTGAATGGCTAGGGATACGGTACGTTTGCGATAGCAATATATCTGCTTCGCAGATACAAAAATACAATCTTTTAGAAGCTTTCTTAATTAATGATACATTGATACTGTCAGCATGACTATTCCATTTAAGATCAAAACAATACATACAATATACAATACATACATACATACATATTTTAATACAAAGACATACAATATTATAATAAACCCAAACTCCATAAACTCACCATGTATTAATTAGCCTAACTGTGTAGCATTCATCAACGACTATGAGGGACAGTTCGTTTCTGAATGGCGAGCTTTTATTCTTCAACAAGGCAACAAATTCAGGAGACAAAGGCTCAAAGCTTCATCAGCAGACGCATACACAAATATCTGAAAATTGGTTTCCTTGATCCCACTATAACAACGGCCGAGTTAATATTTCCAAAAGCGATCATCCTTAATGCAAAGTCGTTGGACCGTAACTGTTCATCAATAATGCTACGAAGAGGAACAATTTAAATACTAGAATACTAGTTGGGCTTGAACAAACCCTTCGAATATCTTCAGCCAACAGGAAACTCTTTCCAAATCCCATAGGAAGGACAGCTAGAGCATCTCTACCTTCAAGTAGGCACTCTATTGCAAGCGTTTGTTTCTGTAAGCTTGTTGTAAGACTTTCAACTACATACGTATCAATTTTCGTTGCTTCCCGCTGCCAAGATAGATATTAATTTCGGCAAATGTCTGTTTTAATACAGCCAGTAAAGCCAGCTGAGTGATGGGTTTTAATGCTATCAGAATATTTGTTGTTTTTTAACCAATCAGAATTTCCCGTTGTCTGTGCAACGGGAAAATCAAACACGCTTGACAATTAGTTAAAGCGGCAATCCCTCTATTTTTCCTCTCGTCTCCGCCCCTTTTTGCCATTTTCCCGCGCGTTCAGTCTTAGTCCGGGAAACAATAAAACGAAGGAAAATAGAGGGATTGCTCGCAGTCTAGCATTGCTCGCACTCAAAACAATTCTCTTCATCGAGAAATATATGCAATATATTTCTGGTGTATCGTTTTTCAGATTGTATTTCTAGTCTTTCAAACCTTTGTATGTCCCGAAGGAAATCTTGATTCTTGATCTGGAATTTTAAAATTTTTGTGTTGTTATTTTAAACGCATGCTAATCATCAATTAACCAATGAAATAGCTTCATTTGTCATACATTATTCATATAAAGCACTATCGAATCAGAGGTCGGTCCCCAAATCTGGGAACTATCCACGTGACCTGAACAAGGATTATGCATCCAACTCACAGACGTTCTCTCGCGCGCTTCGTCGAGAGTAACGGCTGTACACAGGCTAGACACAGGGGCATGTGCCCCGCCCCCAAATTTTTTCAAAGGACTAAAAGTGCTCTTTTTGTGATGAAAAGTGCCTTTTTTGTACAAGCTAATGTCGCTGTAAATACTAAATTAACATCAAAGGTGCCCTTTTTGTTTGGAAATTTCGATGTTTTTTAACAAAAAATTGGTCAAAAACGTGAAAATTTTTCTTCTCCTGGAAGCCGGTGCCCCCCCCCCCCAATCTTTTGACGCGTAGGTTCGTAGGTCCATGATCCACAATTTTGTCAATAATAACAGTTTTCCTTGCGTAGTATGTATATTTAATTAATTTTTACGTTGACTATATTTGAGCGCCACAATTCACATTGTTATTGTTATGTTAAAGTTACAGTACGTCACACATACAATGACGTATTCTGATTAGCATTATTAATATGTTAAAGTTACAGGAAGTACGTCACATCAGACAGTGATGTATTTTGATTGACATTCGAACAGTGTTGACAATATAAATATATTAAGCCCCGCTCGGCGCTTGCGAACATCTGTGATTTCGTGTTGTATAATATATCCTTTATATTGTGTTATTCGTCTTGAGTTTTCTCTTATTTACTGGCGTGGTGGCAGCGGTCCATTACTGAGAATTTCAATATAGTTCTCAAAGAGCTCCGATAAAGTGGAATAGCTCAACAAATACAATCAAAGTCGATAAGAAATTACTCTCAGACAACAAGTCGAAGACGAAGCAGCTTGCATCTGTAGTTGTTAATGCGTCACATATTTACGAACAAGATATGGCTACAAGTCGAGCTCCCAAACAGTGGGCCCTGACAAAGCAGGAAACTATCACTTCATACGAAGCCTGGCGCCAAAATCTTCAATACACCCTTGCCTTAGACCACAACTTCGCCGTATTTTTACTCGAAGACACAACATGGCTGCGATCTACGGCACAACATGGCTGCGGTCTACGGCCCCACTACGTGATCTCGAAAACGACGGCGAAGACGTTCCAGAAGCCAGCCGACGTACAGCCGCCCAACAGCTAACTCACTTGGAGTTAATACTCGGCCAAGTAGCCAATTATTGTCCCGTCACTGCAAGAAACACAATCGTTAACAACTCAACATCTATGAGGACAATTTGGCAAGCAATTCGTGCACATTATGGCTTTCAGTCCACCCGGGCACATTTTCTCGATTTTAATAACATTCGTTTAGAGCCTGACGAGCGCCCCAAGGACTTATATCAGCGACTTCTGAGTTTTATCGATGATAATTTACTCACACTAATGGTAATATCCGACATCACGGCGAAGACGTTTCCACGGACGAAGAATTAACACCCTCGCTTGAAAACATAATTGTACTGACCTGGTTGCGTTTAATTCATGCAGATTTTCCCACTTTAGTTAAGCAACGTTACGGAACAGAACTCCGATCACAGACACTAGCCAGCCTCAAACCCGAAATATCTCAAGCTTTAGACGCCCTCCTCGACGAAATTCATTCTTCAAATGAGGCTAAAGTTCTACGCACAGCCTTTCGACGATCCTCACAACAGCGTGACAATCGTAGTGCGTCTTCCCAGCCCAGTAACAACGAGGGGCAACCAAGTGCTGTCCCATATGTAAACAAGCTAAAAGATCGCAGTTCCAACACTACTTGAGTAAGTGCCCATTTCGTCCTAACGAAGACCGTCAATATTTAACTCGCACACGACAGGTCATTGTTGATCAACATGAACCGCCTGATAAGTCAGACTTAGAGCCAGAACCAGATGACCACTCCTGTTTCAAGAACAATCGGGTCAAGTCTACCGCCTACCGAGTTAGCACAAAACAATCGCCGCACCTGAAAGTATTCCACAACCACCATGCGGTACAACTCACTCTTGATACTGGCGCCGAAACCAGTATGATTAAGTCATCTATTGCCCAACAAATTGGCGCCACTATCCAAAAAACCAAAGAAACAGCTCTACAGGCTGACGGAATTACTCCACTAAGCGTTGTTGGTGAAGTCCATCTGGATTTATCACGTAACTCCCACACCCTCCATCTTGATGCCCTGGTCGTAAACAATTTAGACGTTGACGTTTTGGCGGGAACCCCCTTTATGGTAACCAATAAAGGAATACCGAATGGTTTTCCGTGCAGGATTGCGTGATCCGTGTACGAGGGATGTTGCGAGACCTTCGGAAAGCGTAAAATATATAATGACATTTCCATTAGACCCTCGAAGCAACAAATTACAATCAAGGGTACAGACGTCACCCACTACAATACACATCTTCCCAATCGGAAGGAACACCTTGTTAGACGTACCCAGGCATACGTTCTTCGAGCTCCACCAACTCCTACAGTGATCTGGCCCGGTGAATACCTAGAGATTCCCATTCCTCGTGAAATTAACCCAGATAGCACCCTTGCCGTGGAACCACGCCCAGATTGCGCTAAATCCGTGAGTGATTGGCCACGCCCACATATTCTCGAAGCTGTCGCAGGACGAGTCCGCATACTGAATGATACATCAATAGTTAAGAACATATCCCGCCATGAACATTTTTGCCAAGTTCGTTTGGCACAGGCTCTAGACCCCAAGGAGAACACACTCCCCTTCCCTCTGCATCCTGTGCCACATGTCACCCCTAAACCTCTTGCATCCTCACATTCGTCTTGTGTAACCGTGGATCCCAACAACATTCTTCCATCCACCACCCGTCAAAGCTTCCGCAGCCTGTTAGAAGCCCATGATGACGTATTCGACCCCACCATCACCGGGTTCAATGGCGCGGTTGGTCCACTCGAAGCTGTGGTTAACATGGGTCCGGTCCAACCCCCTCAACGAAAGGGTCGTGTTCCACAGTATGCCTATAATAAATTAGTAGAATTGCAACAGAATTTCGACGAACTTGAAGCTCAAGGAGTATTTAAACGGCCCGAGGACATTGGAATAACAGTAGAGTATCTAAATCCCTCGTTCCTCGTTACCAAACCAACCGGTGGACATCGTTTGGTCACAGCTTTTGCCGACATTGGGCGTTATAGCAAGCCTCAGCCATCTTTGCTACCCGATGTCGACACCACACTACGCACTATTGCTCAGTGGAAGTACATCATAGTAACCGATTTAACAAGTGCATTCTACCAAATACCGCTGTCGAAAAGCTCGATGAAATATTGCGGCGTCGCCACACCGTTTCGTGGTATACGAGCCTGGGATGGGAATGCGCGATGGGAATGCCCGGATCGGAAACCGCCCTGGAGGAGCTAATGTGTCGTGTACTGGGAGATTATCTGCAGGACGGTATCGCAGACAAACTTGCCGACGATCTCTACTGTGGAGCTGACTCACCCGAAGCCCTTCTCCAGAATTGGCGTCGCATCTTACAAGCTCTTCAGCAATGCAATCTCCATCTTTCTCCTTCAAAGACCACTATCTGCCCCCACTCGACTACCATACTTGGATGGATATGGACAGAAGGACGTCTATCTGCCAGTCCACATCGCATTGCCACGTTGTCATCGTGCCCCCCCACCTGACACTGTTCGTGGTTTACGTTCATTTATTGGCGCATATAAAGTCCTGGGCAGAGTGTTACCCAAGTGTTCACACATCATAGCCCCACTGGAGAGCGCCATTGCAGGTCAACAGTCAGGCGAGCGCATACTGTGGACAGATACGTTACGCGAACAGTTCCGCTATGCACAAACTAACCTCACTACACGGAAATCCATCACTCTACCACGACCATCTGATCAACTTTGGATCGTTACTGACGGATCAGTTACCAAACACGGTATCGGGGCCACCCTATACATCACCCGCAACGAGAAGCTTCATCTCGCTGTCTTCTTTAGCGCAAAACTACGAAAACATCAAGTCTCCTGGTTACTCTGCGAAATCGAAGCTCTTAGTATCGCTGCCGCAGTTAAGCACTTCAGCCCGTTCATTATCCAATCCACCCACCAAGCATGTCTATTAACGGACAGTAAACCGTGTGTTCAGGGTTTTGAAAAATTATGTCGCGGCAAGTTTTCGGCGAGCCCTCGAGTTACTTCCTTCTTATCAATCGTCAGTAGGTACCAGGTCAACGTTCGTCATCTAGCGGGTACTGCCAATGTCTCATCAGACTTTGCCAGTCGCAACGCCCCAGAATGCAACGAGCCAAGATGCCAGATTTGCAACTTCGTCACCCTCACGGAAGATTCCGTGGTCCGGCTCACATCTTCAGGAGAAGATAGAAGAAGAGAAGATTATCTTCACATTTTCAGGAGAAGATAATTACGAACAACTGCCGATTAAAGCAGGTGGTGAAGAAACCAACAAGGGGAACAGCAATTCTTGATCTTATATTTAGCAACGCTCACACTTTATATGAGGAACCAGAGGTGCTTGCCCCGCTTGGTAGTTCTGACCACTGCATGATCGTTTGGAGACCAAGAGTTCGAACAGTGAATAAGAACATAACAAGGAAAATCATTTACTCGACCGATAAAGAACTCCAGTCTTCAGTTATTTGAAGATCTTATCAGCCGGCAAAACTGGCCAATGGTATATAACTCCCCTTGCATAAATGGCAAAGTAGATGCCTTTCTGTTTGTTACATCAGAGATGATTGATATTGTTTTCCCGTTGAAAACATTTAAAGTGCATGAGGACGATAAACTGTTTATATCTGGAAAAATTAAACAAATGATTTCCAAAAGAGACAAATTGTATCAGCGGGGAAGAACTGACGATTTTAAATCATTGCGTAATAAAATCGTTTTGGAAATTGGAAAGGAAAAACATAAACTATACCACGAAAAGATTAAACCTGCCCGTGTCCAAGATCCCGAAACATGGTGGAAAAACATTAAAAAAATAGTTGGAAAGAAACAACAAGGCATTACTCTCATTAATCCTGCAACTGAGGCTCCATTAAACCCGAAAGAGACCGCTTGTCACATGAACGATTTTTTTACTAACCTCACTAGCGACTTTTCATAAGTAAGAAGTGAATGGCTTCATGTTGGACCCTATGAACCCTTACCATATATTACGTTTGACAGCGTTGTGAACAAGCCAAGCAGCCTTCAAGTAAACAAAGCAGTGGGTCCCTTTGACCCTAACACAAAGATAATCAAGCTATTTGCAAAATACTTTGCAGGGCCTCTAACACACATATTTAATGAGTCCTTTTCTTGTCGGCTCTTCCCGGATATATGGAAAGTATCCAAGGTGTGTGGAATACCAAAGAACAAGCCTTGCTGTTCAGTAGATCTTCTGAGACCAATTGCACTAACAAGTACCTTGTCCAAAGTCCAAAAGTCATATGCCACCAAATGGATTTATGAAGATGTTCGGGAAAAAATTAGTGAATTCCAGTTTGACGGCCTTCCTGGTACATCTGCAGTTCAAGCCTTGATCCACTTACTGAATAAATGGCACTCGGCAATGCACACTCCAGGAAAGGTCATTAGAATTGTTTTTCTTGATTTTCGGAAGGCGTTTGATCTTGTAGATCACAACAAGCTTCTTGAGAGTTGGCATTAGTGGGTTGGTTTGCGTATCTACATGGCAGATCGCAATTTACATCATTTCAAGGCGAGCAATCAGACCTGCGAAAGATCAGGGGTGGAGTCCCACAGGGTGACAAGCTGGGTCCAATAGCATTTATCCTAAAAATTAACCATCTCCCACAAGTCGCTATACCTAATGAGCAGGAACAGATATGTGAAGCATCTGGTGATCAAGATATAGCTATGTTCGTTGATGATAGTACATTGTCCGAAGTCATTACCATAACTCAACATTCATCTGGTAGCCCAATTGGTAACACCCAACGAAGTGTAAATAACGTAGTGCAATTTGCAAAGAATGAGAGTATAGAACTGCATGGAAAAAAATGTAAAGAAATGCTAATTGATTTTCGGAAGAAGAAAACAGAAATACCACTGATTAATATTGGCGACGATAAAATATCCCGTGCAAAATCGTATAAATTGTTAGAAATATGGATAGACGATGACATAAGATGGAAAACCAACACTGAGTACACTGAGTATATTGTAAAAAAAGGCGCTAAGCGACTCTACCTCTTGAAGATTTTAAAGAATTATGGTGCACCAAAAAATGACTTATTAGCTTTCTATTGTACAGTAATTCGTTCTGTTCTGGAGTATGGTGCACAAATCTGGAGTGGTGGCCTGACACAAATGCATAAGAAAAACATAGAAAGAATCCAAAAACGAGCCCTCGGAATAATTTATCCTGGCCTTTGTGATTATGGACTTCTATTATCTCAGAGCAATCTGCTGACCTTAGAAGAACGCAGAAACAATTTATGTGCCTCCTTAACTGAGAACATGTTACAACCATCACAAAGACTTCACGGACTATTGCCAAAGAAACTGAGTGACATTAGGGAAAGAGAGACTAGGACAAATGGCAAAAAGATTTATAACTTTTTTTGCAACACTGAACGTTTTAGAAACAGCCCTGTATAGTTCATGCTATTAATGAATATAATTTTAAATTAGATAAGTAAGGTTTATATAGATATTTATACAATTCCATATATATATATATATATATATATATATATATATATATATATATATATATATATATATATATATATATATATATATATATTAT